ATAATTTATAAAGACTCCTTTCCTAAACATCTGGAGATGTATATCTCTCTGTTTTCGATAATGTACCAGCTGGTAATAATTGCGGCAGTCGTTTTATGCGGGATTCAAGGTGTCTGGATTAATTTGAGAGGTGTTAATTCGTTATCATCTGAGCCAAATGAGCGAAAGATAAAACCATTTAGTTAAATCGACCATTCAAGAAATACGAGACGGAAAGGGCGTTTATGTTTTATGATAAATATGAGCACGGGCGACGTACGCAAGAGGGAACGTTGGGGTGAGCGCATCTTTGCCCCCCCCCCCCCCCTTTTTTAATTTGGCTTTGATTTGTTGGAATCACCCTAATTGTTGTCGGCAAGTTTTAAAATCCATCTGAGTGCTCCTGAGGACCCCATCACAAACCCCTCTTGCATTTTTTTAGGGACCTTCAGCCCTTTATAAGAGGCTAAATAATTCAACTGTAAGGCACTCATGATTACATCAATGTGATACAAGAAGTAAAAGTGGTTTGAACCTGAATCTGATTCTGTTTCTTGTCGGAAAGTTTCAGTTCTCAAATGGGGGGGGGGGGGGGGGGGGGGGGGCTTATTGGATTTTTTTTTTTTTGGGGGGGAGGGGGGAGATAATAGGTACATTTTCCCTTCAACACTCCCTCTCCTCTCTTCAAAATGATCTACCGACGCCTCAGAAGGGGGTTTGAAAGAGGCATGGCAAACATGATACGAAGTGTCAGGAAATTAGAGAACAATTATTTTTTTCTAAAATAAGGCTTTGCTACTCTCCCGTATAAACATAAAATGCCACCATTGTAAATAAACAAAACGCCATGAATTGAGGAAAGGGTATATCATATTGGTGGACAATGGTACAAGATGAATTTAATAGATAATGGTTGTATCTTTTAGAGTCTTTTCCTTTTGTGTATAAAGCATCATTTTCCAACAAAATCTGCTAAATGAATAACAGACCTTATCCCAGAAAATATTCTATATGATTGTAAACATTCAAAGAAAAAGTTGTGTGTTTCTGCTGTTTGGCAGTTTCTTTTTCTTTTCCAGTAAACTATTATGAATGCATGAATGCAACGTTATACAATAAAGACTCAATCTTTTTTCTCCTTAGTCAATGTTTCAAGGAATATGCAAAATGTTGTTTAATATCTATATCGTGAAAGAAATAATAAAAATTAAAAGGTTTATTCACGTTTATAGGCATGGAACTTCAAGAAGTATGCATTTAGCAAATTGGTCATAATTTAAGCATCTTTAAATGACAATCGTCATGTTTGAAAGTGTTTGAAATGTTTCTTTATTTAATGAAAAAAACATTCACCTACTTTAACATGAATAAATGATTATGAAATATAATTCATTCATTAGATAGGCCTATTTGGTAAATTGCGAAAAATATAACATTTAAAAAATAAACCAAAAAATATTTGAAATTAAGGCTATTCGAAATTTCAACGAAACTAAAACAAAAACAACAACAGTATATCTACAACTTCTGTGTATCGAAGGTAAATTTTTATGGAACATTTCATGAATCAAAAGATATTTCATCTCCCATATTGTAATTGGCAGACATTTTGGTAGTTGTGTTAATAGATATTTTCATAACAGCCAATTGTAACATGGTTGTCCATACCCCCGTCCTCTCCCTATCGCCCTATACAACCACTTTGATTACGTTCTTGATAATCATAGATTTTATTTTCAGTCTCGCGCCATCACTCGGCTAGAATTAAGAAGTATTTCAACGAGATATAGGCTAGTTTCGTCACGAACTAAAAATCTATGCTACTTCGATAAAAGAGCATGAAGCAGATTAGAAGAAGGAAAAAAATAAAATCGGTCACATGGTAAATGTGAAAACAAACAAACAAACGAAGAGAGAGAGATAGAGAGATGGAGAGAGAGAGAGAGAGAGAGAGAGAGAGAGAGAGAGAGAAGGATGATCCCGAGATGATTTTCAAGGAGTAGGAAAGTAATCGACTTCTCCACTCAGCAAGGTCTCTAATGGATAACGAGCATTGTGGAAGTCGATGAGAGCGTAGTGGTAGTCGAAGAAGACGTTGATGAAGATGGGATAGGATGACCACGGTGCGACGTCTTATCTCGCGACTTTCACTTCGCCTCAAAGCTAATCATCCACTTCGGTTCTCAAGTAAGAAGTCATCCGAACTGAACGCCACTGGCCATGGTGGCATGGACTCGATCTCGAGACATGCAGGACGATGACCAAGGCAAAGACGAGGAGGTGATTGAGCAAGGCAAGATGACATGTCAGGACTCGGTGGTCATCGGAAAGCCACATAGAGTCAGTCGATACAGGACCGTGAGATATGTGTCAAGAGATTCCCATCTTAACTTAAAAAGATGCTGAATATATATAATTCATATCAATATTTTGAATGGACTTGCAATTTCAAAGTCCATGCAGAGCGACCTATTATAATTTTGATATAAACTGAGATCATTCATTAAGTTCATAGTTCTTGCTGATTGTTTTATTTAGTAATTGATGATGGTGATGAGATGACGATGATGCAAATGATGATGTTGATAATGCTTGATAATCTGATGATTGTGAGACGGAGAGAATGGAAAGAGGGGGATGAGACTAAAGAGGAGAGAGAGGGGAGAGGGGAGAGAGAGTGAGAGTGAGGGAGAGAGGGAGAGAGAGAGAGAGATAGGGTGAGAGAGAGAGAGAGAGAGAGAGAGAGAGAAGCATTATACGGGGAGCTCGGTTATCCAAATTGGAAAATGAAGCTCGACTCCATCAACAATGACAACTGAAAGCTTTCAGACTGCAGGTCCCTGAACTAGGTAATTTGTTAATTAGCTTAATGCTTTATTTAATAATAATTTATTAAAATAAAGCTATAGCGATTGACCTTCATACCACTTAAACAGTCCTTGCCCACTATACATTGGAAAGACGCGGCGGTTTTAATGGACCTAATTCACCATTGATGAGTGAATGAGGTTCGATTGATGTGAAGATATTTGTTAAAACACATGGCTACAGATTTAGCTCGACAGTCAGTATCCATGTCATGTTTCGTTTAAATAAGGGAAGTTGGGCTGGAAATACTGTTTATTTTGCATTGAAAATGAAAATAAATAAAGTGATATAAATAGCAAGAATGGCTTGAAAATGAAATTAATATAATGTATAAAATACACAACTAACAGAAAAGCTGGGTGAAATATGTTAGGAAAGAGACAGAGAGAGATGAATTTTTGGACCCTTTTTGTTTGTAATTGTAAAAGAAACTTTATTCGTTGAAACATACTTCAGTTCAGTTCAGTTCAGTTCAGTTATGATTAATATCATCATTTCGCAGCCTCGGCTGAATTGCATGACAATACAAAACAATTCATATTCTTTCACAAATGTTTCAAATAAACCAGTTAAAATACAATAAGATTAAGGAAGACAATGTCCCCCCCCCCCCGTCCCCCGGGATCGCCGCCCCTGCTTGACTGTACAATAACATAGGCCTATGCAATGTCATTTTGTGAGGAGATTACTTGTAGTCTGACGGTATTCATCTAAAGTGTATGTTCTCAAACTTGAATATTTTAATTATTTATCGATTAATCAGACTGGTACTATTTCTCAAAACCCATTCAATACTTTTATATTCTTATCCACTCGTTTACTGAATCCATATGCCATACTCTTCCGCGATTGTTGAATACTGTAATATTATACGTGCTGCTATGAAAAGCATGTTGACAGACATTGGCAAGAGCATGGAATATTCATCGCGTTTAATTATATTAGTCTGAACACGAATCATCAATATCATTTATTCATGTAATATACCCAGACACCTTGCGAAAATAGGCGGCTCATACTCGGCTTAGCCTTTTGACAACGATTCAATTAATGTAATTGATTCGAGGGAGAGCAGGGGTATGGGTACATTGTAGGTGCTGAACAAATACATACAATGAAATACCCCGCTTCTCTTGGTCGAATGCAAGGTCTTGGGGCTTTTCAATCACTGTAATTCCACACACAAATATCGTTTGTTATTCAGCGGCGTATCCAGTATCCAGGGGTCCGCCAAAATATTGTAAAGTCGTGTAGGGAAAGAAATATCGCCTCAAATAATACAAGAGTAAAAACATGTCTTGTAGTACAAAACAATCTCGTTCATGTGAACTTCAAAATAATTTTGAGGATTATAGTAGAAAGGCGTTTGCTATACAGTATTCTATTCGTGATTGAAAGTTCAGGACAAAATGAACATTTATAGAATCCTGCGTAATGGAATGATGAAACCAATAGAGAGGGGAGAGGGAGGAGGGGGAGGAGGAGGAGGAGGAGGAGGAGGGGGAGGAGGAGGAGAGCGAGAGAGAGAGAGAGAGAGAGAGGGGGGGGGGGGAGAAGTTGGTAAACAGATACACAAACCGAGGAGGGGATGCCCTCTCACAAAAAGAAAAATCTCTAATATACCCCTTTTTTGTTAATTTGCTCATATTAATCCAGAATGGAATGATCGAATACAACATCAACTGTACTTTTGAAGAGGAAAAAAAGGTTTATGAGAGTTATCGTGTAGGTGGACATATAGAAGAAGTGAAAAGAGGAAATGAAAAGGAGGAGAATGAGAGAAATTTGAAGAGAGTGTGTTCGTTAGACTAAAGGAAAAATGGAGGGAGAAAGAGATAGAGTGGGTGTGTGTCAGTGTGTATGTACGTGCAGTTTATGAGACTGAGAAGGAGGGAAAGAGAGAGTCAGTCCCGATATTTTGTTGTTGAATAATAATTAATTTACACTTCTAAGCACCACGCGATCTGGCTCGACGCGGATGAACGCTTTTCATTGTTGATCCGAGTCCACATCCCGTTGCCATGACAACATAATACTGCATCAATTGGTACAGGAAGAATGAGAGGAGAATGCGCATACTCATGGGCATAACGCACTATTCATTTTTTATAGGCAACGGGATCAAAAAGACTCCGAAGGATAAATTGATTTAGCGCTCTCAAAATTGCATATTTGCATGGAGACGTGCTGCATGAAATCATTACATTTGGGCAGCTTCACGTAAAGGGTCCAGCTCTGTGTTGAAAGAAGTTTAGCCTGTAGTTAGGTATGGTCGATCTTATCTTAATCGTCGAGATAGTTTCATTGGAAAGCTAACCTTCAACCAAAGAAACTTGAAATGTGACTTCTCTTCTTCATAATTTGACAATGTTCTCCCTCTAGCCTGAAACGGATTAGGAAGGACAGTAGCATGCGATATTAATCGTGAACCTTTTTTAAAACTTTAATAATCAAATTTCCATAATCTTTGCGTATCGAGGCCGGTTCTTTCCTCGTTTGGAGGGCGGTAGAAAGCAGTAGCTGTACCAGTCAGATTTTGAGCAGTTTCAGTTGCATTCATCCGCTCAACATCCTCACAGTCGGTGATATTTCAGTTGGCTGAATAAAAGGATAATAACCGACAGAGTTATGGCTTGCCAATTCGGACTCTTGTCTTCTTCTGGTAAATACTTGACCTCGGACTTTGATGGTAAGATCAGTGTTAGTCCTCTGGATGCATCGGTGAACAAACTGATCAAAGGACAGCTCTGGAGTTTAGAAAGCGACTCCAATGATCAACAGGTACAGTCCGAAGATGACTCACAAATATACGCACTCTATTCTACGAATGGTCATTACCTTTCCGTCGATAAGTCGGGTAAGGTGACTGCAGATGCCGAGGAAATCGGCGAGGAACAACGGTTCGAGGTGGACGCAGGCAGCGGCGGTAACGGCGCTTGGGTTATCCGTAGTGTCGCCCATGATACCTACATGGGTATCAAGAGCAAGAAGGTCCTCTGCAAAATGCGTGAATCGTCGTCTTCGGACCAACGTTGGTACGTGCGACTCTCCATTCACCCACATTGCTGCTTGCTCAGCGTCAAGGCGGAGAAGTTTGCACACGTGCCGCAGTCAGGGCGCTATTTGACGTTCGACGCAACGGTTCCTTGGCGGTCAGATACCCTTCTGCAACTCAAGTACAGCGAGGGCTATGGTTGCTTTAAGACAGCCACCGGAAGATATATCACCCGGGAAGGGAACTTTGTTCCTTCGCTCATCCCAGACTGTCTCTTCGTTCTCCAAGTTACTGGTGATCAAATCGATCTCAAAGACTACAAAGGACTCTACATGTCTGTCAACACGAGGGGAAGGTTGTTGTGTACAACTTGTAAAGATAGAGCTTCGTTTACACTGAAACCAAGCTACCCTCATGTCACCTTCCACACAAAAGTCAAAGGAACTTGGATGAAACTATTTGCCAAAGAAGGTAAGTTTTGGTCCAAGCTTTAAAATAAAATCTCTGTATGACTCCCGTCTCAAGTAAATGTCATAAGTTTGAGTCCGTACATGCAGACATTGCCATTAAACACACTTATGAAGATTACAAACTAACAAATAAACTAACAAACTAACAAAGTTTAAATAGGATGTGCACGAACAGTTATCATCAGGCGTCATTTCGTTTGCCAGAATCACGACTATAAAATCACGCGTCTCTATTTCAACGCAAAAAGCTTTTCATTTTGGAGTCATTTTTTAAACGATGTCATCACCCTCACACGGCGAGTCACAGACGGCGCCAGTCACTAATGCAATCCTACGTCTAAAAATGGCACCTCGTATTCAACGGGTTAAATCTATATGTCTTCATGTTGTCATATGAAATTTAATCATTCGTAAATGTCATGGTGATCTTATTGTTCAATAGGTTCCAGTGAACTTACAACCATCGAATCCACGAAGACCGACGAACACGAAGACGAGGTGGTCTTCGAGCTATCTCCCCTCTGTGCCTCGACCACGCCCAACTCCAAGTGGGCCCTCGTCACGGCTGATAATCGTTGCGTCAATGTAGATCCCGAGAGTCGGCTATGCGTCTCGTCTAAAGCAACGCAGTAAGTGGGCGTGTTTGAATTTGACTTCCTTTCTATTTGATTTGAATGATTACTGCCCACTGCACACGAGGCGTCATTTGCCTGATGTAAGATGGCGTCACTCACCGGTGCCCTAGCTCTTTAAAGAACATATCGTTTTAAACAAAAACTCAATGCACTTTGCAAATAGCTGGTATATGGGCTTGTTGACTTGTCCTGCTTTGATTAGCGCAGGCATTGAAATGACGCTCCTTGTGTAATGGGCATTATTTACACACTTAGGAAATTCAATTTTGCTTAGCCTATAAAGCCACCAGTCGGAGATTATTATGCCGAATCGGCAACAGGTTAACGGGCTTTCGCACGACTAGACTAACTTTATGATATCTAATGTTCATTGCAGACGATGCGTCAATTGCCTGGCGTAGTACTGCTTCAGCGACTGCTGCCGTCTTTGACGCGCCATATGAGGGTGGCATCGTAAGGAAAATTATGTAAAATGAACAGCGCGAACATTGCTTGGAATTACTAGCTTATATACCCAAATTGTCTAAAGAAAAGGCAATTCAAATTACACCTCGTAAGCGAATAGTATATTTTATCAGTTTCTGTGCATTGTTTTGAATTCAGAGGCTTACATGGTCGATATTTTTCGTGATAGGCCTAATGTTTACTACTGGGATTGTCCATTAAAAGCGGTTCACAGTGAATTCATTCAGATTCTGGAATGAGAACATTAAATTAACGATTGATTATTCTTCTATGTTTAACCTTTAAAAAGAAATCCAATCATTTGTATTAACCAGGAACATGTCCCAGGTGCTTGAATGATAATCCCTGACAATATAATCGAATCCCTGGCCAGTAGCGTACGTAGTGTGTGTCCTGCCATTTATGGGGTAATGTCACTATTGGGGAGATGGGAGGGGGGCATCGATTAGGTGGGAGGATATTGGACGATTCATGATCATCCTCTTTCACGTTCAAACTCCCATCTCTCTGATTCTCTCTTTTCCCCACCACTTCCTCCCCCTTCATCATTTGATTTGGGATTTTGAACGAGCCCCATGTGCCCCAAATGCAATCTATAGCCACGCAATCTAAAATTGTATTCCAAATTTAATCTCCGAGGAATGGCTCGCGTAACATGCGTCACGAGGCAGAATTCGCTTTTATGAGAAAAGAAAATCCAATTATGCTTCAATAGATGATTACTTTAGAACAAATGTACCCCTGATAGAAATAGATCATAAACAGTGGGAGAGAATACGAAACCTGATTAGTTTGTGTAATGTATGTATATTGGTAAGATTATATGCAGTTAATGCTTCTAGTGACCTGATTAAATGAATATGTGATGAATAATCGCGATGCAGGCTAATTTGAAGTCAACATAAGCAGATCATTAATAATTAGGGATGTATGGGGAAGGTAACGCTCTACTGGCAGCCTTGTGATCTATAGACAAAACAGCAGACAAAAATGTATGATACCTTTTAAAATACGAAACGATATATTGGACGCTAAGCAGCACTAAACAAATTTGATTGGGCTATTTAGAATTCAAGATACATGGACCGCTGAATAATGTATTTTCTTTAATTATATAATATGTTGGTATACCCGATAGTGCTGTCCAATATTTGCAAGTGCCCACAAAGATATTTAGTTGCCTTCCATGAAAATAATCCGGATAATCATGATAATACCACGGTCTGTGTATTATACTGCAGTACTAAAGAATGATAAAGTGTGTGTTTGTTTCTATGTCGTGTCATTTTTTTCCCCGAATTTAATATAATTCTTTCAGTTATTCCTTTTTTTTCTTCGAAATTCAAAGAAACTTAGCGAGAAAATAATGATGCCGTGCAAGAGTTGCCAGTAGTATCCCTATTATGGTCATTTTTTTAATAATAAGAAAAAGAGTGGTGCGCTTGAAGTTGCTACATAAATATTGTCCCCCTCCTCTGCTCATATTTTAGAGCCAATATTTGGAAGCGACTACAATAATTATCGCACGTACAAAAATTTGATAATGATGACTTATTAATTGCATTATCATAGGACTAAAGATCAGGCTAGACATTGTCTGCTTATTGATTTAATTATCTCTTGGTCGATTAGCGAGTCTAAATTCATATCATCATACCGTCGCCGAATCGCTTTACAAAATTATACAAACAATGGAAAGATTAATAACACTCACAGAGGTGGGTTTCATCGATGGTATTCGGAAATGAAGGAGGTTTAAAAGATGAATAGAGGCTACTCAGAAACTAAAATATTAACTTTGAGGTTAATTTTCCCTCTTTAAATGTATAAGTTTGTGGACGACTTTGAATAAAGGAGACGGTACGACGCAATAAGAACGTCGTCTGACTCTCATGGATTTTCGTTGTGCGCCGCTTGGAGTCGAGTCCCGCGCACAGCAGACAAAAATGAAATTTAAAAAATATTGTAGCTGCGTCATGTTTAAGTGCACCCTCCCCTCTGTTCTCGATGCAGGCTCATATTCAAGGAGTAACACTCCGTTTCTCGGATAGGACGTTAACTGGAAGCCCCGTGCATATATGGTGTTACCATGGTTGCACGTTAATACGCTTCACTTCTCGCAAAGAGTATAGGTGTCAACCCGGTGTTTAGTGTGCCTGGATATACACAACCGGTAATCTACATACAGCAGATCTTCGTGATAGGCTGCATAGCCTTTGAAAATTAACAAGAGAAGAAAGAAGGGAAGAAGAAAAAAAGAAAGAAAGAAAATCTATTAGTCTAAGAGTCATGACCATTTCAATTTAAACATGAGGTAGTAAGATCGACTTGTTTTCGTCTGTTCAATTCTAATCTTTGTAATGAGTGTATAATAGATCAACCAGCAAGGACAAGGCTTTTAGGACTGATGATTAATCATCACGACTCAACGAGTTTATCCCCCTCAATATCAAATAAAAGTGTATTTTGCCTATTCAGCCGAACTGCTTTAATAGGAAAGAATTTCAATCAAATATTTAGATTCAATTGATCAAAGTATACAACAATAATGATATATGATATATGTATACAGCAGTACACCGTCTCTGTCTGCTGCGTTAATCATGTGGCCAAATCGGCTTTACGCCCCTCCCCCCCCCCCCCCTCGTTTGAATGGCGCCCCATAATTAATCAATCCAAATGCGGGAATGCCAATATATATTACACCCCAGGACCTGCCCCCTTTTCAAAATAAATGTCTGGATACGCCTCTGCTATTATGTACATCAATCTAAAATTCAAAAGTACAATGCATGCCAATTTGCCAAACGTACATTCCCATGCATTTCAATAATCTTTTAATAACAATTGAATTCGACCATTGTTATTTCTCTATACTCGTAATGAATACACTATGCATAATCGATAACCCCCATTTTCGTCATACCCAAGCGCAACGATTGGATTGATTAAATATGACAAACTGTATGTCGTTATTCGGAAAAAAGTGAGTCTTGATTGAATGGGGGGGGGGGGGCTGTTAAAAACAGCGGAATCCATCTAATCACGCATTGTAGAGGTAACGTTCGTTCTGAATAATGATAAATAATGATAATTGCCTAAAATAAAAAAAAATTAGGCAATTAATCGTAAAAAAACCCAATTATTCCATAAGCCTTATATACATCTGTTATACCACTGTATACTGTAAATCGATGAAGCAAGTGTGAATAAGCTATTATGTCAGTGTTCATGTGTTCATATGATTTAATGAGGTAACAAATTGTCTGCAATATCTGATAGTGTAGGATATCAGTCTGGTTCGCTGTACTATTTTACATTACGTCATGGTCGTAAAACAATGGAGCGAAAAAATAAAAACAGCATCATGGAGATTGCCTGGTGCATCTCCATGGAGATACTATTTTGGCTGGTGATATAACACGATTTATTTTGATTCTAGGAAAAGGAGTGGACTAAATTAATATTTGATAAAGATTATAATACATAACGCTCAATTTATTAAAAAAAATGTTTATTCCACGGTTCGTCGGTTAGGCCTATAGATCTAGAATATTAATATAAAGATTATAATAAGTGGCCATATTTTAATGAACATCTGGTACAAAAGATGTGTTGTTTTATGGAATGTAACCAAGCAGGACTCCTTATTTTCCAGTTGACAATAATGTAATTGCCAATACTGACGTGTAATCCGCACTGGTTGTTTGTCTACGGTAGTGGTACAATGGTTTTAATTGACAACTTTAGGGTTCGAATCCTTGCCCTGTAAGATGTACTGACAAGTCAGTTTGATATCCACTAGTTTCTCTTATACAGGTAGTATATTCGTGGGTACACTGAAGCACACTTTCCATACATTAACAGCTGTCTGTGCTCATAATTCCATAGCACTTTGGGAGCCCATAGAAGCAGCACATTACATTAATTTGATTAATGAGTGTCTCCCTCTCCATTGTTAATACAACGTTGGCATGGTAACGATGGGAACGCTTCGGTGGTTATGGAGGTTATTGTGGCATCTGAAATGTCAATATAACAAAATGAACATAAAAAAGCTCGTTAAGGCCAAATATAAAAAAAAAACAGGTTTAGCGTCCTGCCTTTTTGAAAAATTGGAAGGAGGAGGCCCTTTTTTTTGCTTTCAAAATGGCCGCTCAAAATGGCCGCTTGGTACATTTTCCCTGATAGTCGAGCTCTTTTTCAAGACGGCCGCCGGCATTTTTTTTTTTTTTTAAATCAGAAATAGATCCATTTTAGCAGTGTTTTTCATGTATTTTTTCCATTACAAAAAAATAAATTACAAAACATTACACAAAAAAAGGGAGGCGGCCCCCAAAAAGGAAGCGGGCGGGGACGCTAAAAATGTATATTTTTTAAATGGCCTTATACTGCTATCATCATCACCACCACCACCATCACTATCACTTCATCATCATCATCATCGTCAACATCATAGTCCTTTTTCCCTTCTTCTTCTTCTTCTTCTTCTTCTTCTTCTTCTTCTTCTTCTTCTTCTTCTTCTCTTCTTCTTCTTCTTCTTCTTCTTCTTCTTCTTCTTCTTTCTTCTTCTTCTTCTTCTTCTTCTTCTTTTTCTTCTACTTCTTCTTCTTCTTCTTCTTCTTCTTCTTCTCATTCTGCTTCTTCATCCTTTTTTTCTTATTCAAACCAGGGAATATTTTCCATTCCTGGGGACGGATGAAAGATTGAATAATCAGTATTATTACAATATATAAAATATAAAAATGACTTATAAAACATTACGCCATCCCATTACGAAATATACTAAAATCATATTTGCTCCGGTGTACAGAGGCGGAATGAAATATAATTTGTCTGTAATTGCTCTCATTCAATTATCATTATGCCGGAGATCCGCCATTTCTTCCACCGAGCACCAAGCGATCTCATCAATAACCTCCACCATTTTTGTTTGTACTGCGGGAAAATTTAGCCAAATTATATTTAGGCATTGAGCAGCGTTCGGGGAGGCCTCGGGCAGTTGATAAAAACTGAGGCATAGTCATGGCGACACAATTTACAATTCATTTACACTATGTTTTTTTTTCTTTGTTCTCATTCCCCTCTTCTTCTTTCGCCTCCTTCCTTTCCTTTCAGTGTGTTCATCGTAGGTATTTTCTTTTTGCATATATTTTGTATACCTCTTCTTCTCCTTCCCTCCTCCTTTTCATTTCTCACTTCTCCACTCTTTGTTGTTTCTTACTCATAACGCTCCCCAAAATATAGTTCCAAGTTATTACTGGCGACTGCCCCCCCCCCCCCTCCTCTTGCAAAAAGGATGGACGCTGTTTTTTTTGGTTAAAGATAGTGACACAATGGTCGCCGGTCAGATTATTCCGTATTAAAACCTTCCCCATAACACTGACCCTGATGGTGATTAGACTGTACTAGCCATGATGTAAGCTACAGTTAACACGACCGCATACGACGCAAAGACTTTCGAGAAAAAAGAGCAATTTCCTTTATAGCCCTATTAAGGTAAATCTACCGTTGTTTATCTCATAGAAATCGTGTTCACATTACGTTTATATGTCAGTGTAATCATGTTGTTTGCATATTAGAATGTACGTTACTGGACAAGCCTGTTAATGTTAATTATTTGTTAAGTCTTTGCGGTCGTATTTGGTTCATTCTTCGACGTCGCCGATAGACGTGTCACGTCGTTAACAATAAACGTCTAAACCTGTTGTCGATAACATAATAAAATTCATGCTGTAAAAACCCCGCTTTCTATTTCCCGCTTTTCGCATATAGCCTGTCCTTTATATACGGTACTTTTGAAGGGACTTTTGACCTGATTTAGTGATTATTTAAAAGGTATTCTAGAATATCATAAATTATTTTCATTTACCATTTTTTAGCACGGCAAAGCAGTTTGAATTCGAGTTCATCAATAACTCGTTCGCCCTCCGCCACTCAAACTCCAACCAATATGTCACCGTCGACGCCTCTGGCCAACTATCCCTGACAGCCAACATCAACGACATCGCAGGCAAGATCGGCGTCCAGCTCGTCAACCGCACGTCGCTCATTCTCCAAGGGGAATTCGGGTTCGTCAAGCGGGAGACCGGGGGCAGGAACAACAAGGTCAAATGCAACTCGGCCGAGTACGACGAATTGAGTTTGACCTATGAACCGGAAACGAATACCTATCGGATTAAAGGTTAGAATATAAATTGTTTTTATACTTTATTGCACGGACATAACAGTTTCATAATATTTAATAACATATTTTTGTTTGTATTGAAATATAGCGATAACCATTAGGGAATAGCTCAACTGTCTCAAACATATTCGTCTTTCAAATGGTTTAAGTAGATAGTTGTTGACTGTTTTGTGGGCAGTCATTTCGTTTATCAGTTAGTCTCAGACTGCACATACATAGATCCATGGTCTCTATAGGCTGATAGATGCTAAACTTATTCTTTTCACTATCGTTTGATTTTACCTTTAGATCCGGATGGGAACCCGTGGTGCATGGACTCCTTGAAGGAACATGTGACCGCCCCCTCCATGGGCCAGCCAACCTCTTTCATCCTCGAGGTTCACGCAACACTCGGTAGAGCAAAGCTGGCTATACGTCCCCTACATCCAGACAACGACTATTTCCTCAAAGGCTACAAGAATGGCGCCCTCACTGCAACTGGTGAAACCCTGGCTAAGGAAACCTTGTGGACATTTATCTAAATCAAAGTGCAGGGCTTACCCTTTTTAGAGAACGGGGGAAGCATCATTGCATAAATGGTCAATTTAGATCCGGAGAACTAAATTCTCGAAAAAATATACTAATGCATTCCAATGCAAAGTAGAAATTTCACGGTTCAGCGGATACGTCACCGGTCAATGGATCATTATGGTTGGCGGTTCAAGTCCGGCTGCGGCACTAACGTCTTTTGGCAAAACAATAATCTACGTTTGCCACTCTCCATCCAGGTGTAGTGAAAGGGTTCCTGTCAGGAATGTATTTCTTGCGTGCTTTGAGCACATGACAGCAGATGCGCTAGAGTCAGTGCAGTAATGATACTCTGTATGCGCCTTGAGCATCCCCTTGGATGGATATGTCATCATGTATAAAACATAATGTAACTATTGTTATTACTAATTTCCGTAGACGCAGGTTGGTCCAAAGCTGACTGATTGATCATTTTATGATAATAATATATTTATATATATATATATAGCGCATTTTCCATAATGTTCAAATGCGATTTTATATTGTAAACAGGAGGTATTTAGAGATTAATTGCTGGTTACGAAGAGATATGGGTAGGTTATTCCACAATTTGGGAGCAGAAGTTGTGCAAGCTCTGTCACAACGTGTGGGTAGCATCTTGGGGATCGATGGATGGTTCAGCGTGATGCCTTAAAGGAGCGAACGAAGGGAGTAGCGGGATAGTTTCCTGATAGTTTGAGTTCATATTGGTAGGGAGGAGCAAGACCGTCGGTGTATTTGAGGATGAGAAGAAGTATTTTATATTGAATCTGGGACATGATGGGTAGTCAGTTCAATTGACGAAGGATAGGTTTCATGGGACAGAACTTGTGGCAGTTCTGGCGGCAACATTTTGAATTCAGTGTAGTTGTTCAATGTGGGTTGCAGTGGCACCATAGAGTAGACCATTGCAGTAATCCAAGCGGCTGGTGATGAAGGAATATAGGAGTGAGTAATGACCTCTGGTCTAGATACTTACGAATTCGACGGATATTGTGTAGATTGAAGAAGGCTGCCTTTCATGACTGTCATCAGGACATGTCGATCTATGGTCATGTTCGAATCAAACATGCAACCCGAAGTTCTTGACATGAGATGCAGGTATATATCAGCATTGCCGATCCTGATAAAGGGGATGTTGATCTTCTGACAGTTGATGACGTGTGCCAAGGATGAGGAACTCTGTCTTATCATCCTTGATCAGCAATCTATTCTTTATCATCTATTTTTTATATCAGCAATTCATTCATTATCACTGCATTTGCAGTGGACCTCCAGTTTTACACTCGATTCGAGGGACTATATGTCATGCATGGAGAGACCCAGGGCACTATAGTGCAATGGCAAGAAGGAAGATGGAACACTAATGAGTTATTGTGCAATAGCCAAATTTTGGGAAAGATGGTTCTTATATCTTCTTTATTTGGGATATTTGAAATCACGAATCAGTAAATACACACCAAATAATGCATGAAGGTTATAGGTAGCATATAAAATAAATTGTTTGTATATTTATTTATAATAATAATAATGAAGATAAAGATGATGAAGATAATAATAATAATGATAATAATAATAATAGTAATAATGATAACGATAATAATAACAACAATATTAATAATGATGATAACGATAATGATAGCAATAATAATTACATTGATATTGATAATACTAAAATTATTTAAATTCTGGGTTCTTGTAGAGAGCTGATGTCTGTCAGACTTGACACTCCTGGCGCTCCACAACTGTTTAAAATTAATTAAACTATCGATTTCGATCTATTTATTCATATATTTATTCATTCATTCATTTGTGCTCTTATATTTTATTTTAATTCATTAGATTGCTTAACGTCAATTTGTAAAACAATGGTTTAAAATTGTAAGCGAGAAAAGGGTGATTTTTCCCCTCGTTTTGATTAAGCTTATATCATTGTATGTTTTCAATAAAAAGAAATCAAACTCTATGTGAATTACAATGTAAAGCTTTTAAAGAGTGAATTCCTTTTATTTTTCTGCTTGTATAGATTTTGTAATTTGTTACTCATCGTTTAACCATAAAAAACGACGAAAATGATAATGATGAAGAGAAAAAGAGTGTTTGGAATAGCGTCTTTTACTTGCAGCTTTAAAGAATTAATGCGCTTCAAAACTGCTCCACTAAGTACTGTTGTGAACAATTGAAAAAGATAATATAGGCTACTTATGGAAATAGGTATAGTTTAAACCTATGGCCATGCTAGATTCCGACGGCGGACGAATTGTGGTATTGGCAGGGGCGGCGATCCCGGGGGACGGGGGGGGGGGGACACGTCCCCCCTCAATTTTTTTTTAGGGGGATTGTCCCCCCCCCCCCTGAAAGATTGAAAAAGTGCAAAAAAATAAGTGTATAGCAAATACTGACTAAAGATTGCAACAAACTTTAAGGCTCTGGAAGGCCCTGGAAGGCCCTGGAAGGCAGCGTTTAGACAAATAAAAATGCAAAAATCTTCTCGCTCGGGATCTACGCTCCCTCGCATAATATTCTTCAGAATGTACAAGTAAATATTGCAGTGTGAAAAAGGTATATTGCTTGTTTTTATACTATTGTTTTGTTAAGGAATGTAATTGGTTAATACATCAAAGCTTCAAAAACCTGTGAGGGGATAGTCACTTCCGTCACCGTCAATCCTCTCGTTCACTATGCTCCCTTGCCAGGCGCGGATCCAGGATTTCTTAGGGGGGGCCCACTTTTTTTGGGGGGTCCGAAAAAAAATCGTTACGACTCAGCCAGCCGTTAAATAACCGGGGGGGGGGGGGGAGAGGACACTTTTTTTTTTGGTCTCGAAATTTGAAAATTTGACATTTTGTTCCGTTGGGGGGGGGGTGAGGTCACCTTTTTTAGGTCAGCCATTGGCATATTTGTTTATATATTTTTTTTTAATTAAAAAAAAAAAAAAAAAAAATCACAGAAAAGGGGGGAGGGGGGGGGGGTTCCTCCAAAATACACACATAAAAACCGAAGGAGGGAGGTTAAACCCCCTAACCCCCTCCCCCACTTCCGTACGTGCCTACTCGTCTGAAAATAGTTTTTCTCCTCCCACGTGAAGCGCGGAAGCTTTTACGTTTCATTAAATCATTAGAAAAAGAAGACGATTCGTTGTACAGCTTTTTACTCCTAATCCTCGTCTTAATTCATTCCCCTCTCCCGCGCAAAGCTTGGAAGCTTTTACGTTTCATTAAATCATTAGAGAAAAAAAGACGATTCGTTGTACCGTTCTCGACTCTTAATCCTCATCTGAATTCAGTTTTCCCCTCCTCCCTCCCGCGCGAAGCGCGGAAGCTTGTACGTTTCATTAAATCATTAGAAAAAGAAGACGATTCGTTGTACCGTTCTCGAAAATAATCCTCGTCTGAATACAGCTTTTACGTTTCATTAAATCATTAGCGAAATAAGACGATTCGTTGTACCGTTATGACTTTTAATCCTTGTCTAAATTCAGTTTCCCCCCTCCCACGTGAAGCGCGGAAGCTTTTACGTTTCATTAAATCATTAGAAAAAGAAGACGATTCGTTGTACAGTTTTTTACTCCTAATCCTCGTCTTAATTCATTCCCCTCTCCCGCGCAAAGCTTGGAAGCTTTTACGTTTCATTAAATCATTAGAGAAAAAAAGACGATTCGTTGTACCGTTCTCGACTCTTAATCCTCATCTGAATTCAGTTTTCCCCTCCTCCCTCCCGCGCGAAGCGCGGAAGCTTGTACGTTTCATTAAATCATTAGAAAAAGAAGACGATTCGTTGTACCGTTCTCGAAAATAATCCTCGTCTGAATACAGCTTTTACGTTTCATTAAATCATTAGCGAAATAAGACGATTCGTTGTACCGTTATGACTTTTAATCCTTGTCTAAATTCAGTTTCCCCCCTCCCACGCGAAGCGCGGAAGCTTTTACGTTTCATTAAATCATTAAAGAAAGAAGACGATTCGTTGAACTGTTCTCGACTCTTAATCCTTGTCTAAATTCAGTTTTCCCCCCGCTTCGACGTTTCATTAAATTTTTAGAGAATGAGGACGATTCGTTGTTCCGCTCTCGAAAATAATTTAGTTTCCCCCACCCGCGCGAAGCGCGGAAGCTTTTACTTTTCATTAAATCATTAGAGGAAGATTCGTCGTACCGTTCTCGACTCTTAATCCTTGTCTAAATCAATTTCCCCCCCCCCTTCCGCGCGAAGCGCGGATGCTTCGAAGTTTCATTAAATTATTATAGAAAGAAGACGATTCGTTGTACCGTTCCCGAAAATTATCCTCGTCTGAATTAAGTTCCCCTGCCCTCCCCCGCGCGTAGCGCGGAAGCTTTGACGTTTCATTAATTCATTAGAGAAAGAAGACGATTCGTTGTACCGTTCTCGACTCTTAATCCTTGTCTGAATTTCAAATTTGTCTTTGTCTATTCCCTTTTCTTTCTACGTCCTCTTCCTTTACACTCCTCTCTTTTTTGGCCGGCGTTTATTGGGGGACCACCCCACCGCCCCCTGGCTACGCGCATGCTGTCAGATGAACATTATTATGTTGATACCTTGTCCGCCCCGAAAGCTCAGGGGTTTAAGGTTTTAATTTACGGTCAGATTAGCATTCAGGGGTCCGCCTTAGCGCCCTAGACGGGGTCCAGGGGGCAGAGCCCCGGAAGTTCAGGAGTTTAGGCATTTAATTACGGTCAGATGAGCATTATTTTGATACCTAATTGTTACAATGGCAGGTCACTAATTGGCTTGGGGTTCAGGGGGCGGAGCCCTGGAATCTCAAGGGTTTTAGGCACTCAATTACGGTCAGATGAATTTCGAGGGGCCCGCCTAAGGGCTCTTGGTTTGGTCCAGGGGTCAGAGCCCCAGAAGCTCAGGGGTTTTAGGCGTTTAATTACGGTCAGATGAGCATTTTTGATACCTTATTATTTGTGACACTAGCAGGACAGTATTTGGCGTGGGGTCCAGGGGGCAGAGCCCCCAGAAATCAGGGGTTTTAGGCATTAAATGACCGTCATATGAGCATCTAAGGGCCCGCCTTAGGGCCCTAGGTGGAATGCAGGGGGCAGAGCCCTTAGGATTTTAGGCATTAATTTGAATCATGGTCAGATGAGCATATTTTGATACCCTATTATAATGTGACACTGGCAGTTAACTATTTTTTCTTTCTCGCTCTTTCTTTCTATTTCTCTTTAATATACTTTTTCAAAGAAAGTGTGGGGGAGGGGCTCGAGGATCCCGATCCCCGCCGTTCCGCGGGCCCTGATATGTAGGCATCTCAAGAAGTATTTTCTTGCCTGGCTGTAAATTTAGGAATTTGTCATTTTCCAACAAACGCATGAAGTGAGGAAAATTATCTCATTTCAGCATTATTTGTTAACCACCGTTATGGAATTATAAATAAACCACGTTTGAATTCTATTTCTCCAACCCCCCCTCCTCCCCTATCAGTATGCCAGTGCCCCCCCCCCCCCTCCGATCTACACCTTGTTGGCGGGAAAATTGCAACTGATATCCCTTACCTTTCTTCATTCTCTTTTTTTTCCTTTTCCTTTCTCTCCTCTTTCACTTTCCCTTCCCTTCCTTATCTCTCTTTTAGGTTTGCTGGGGGGGGGGGGGGGGGAGGGGCACGGTCATTTTGGTCCCCAACCCGCTCCACACATTGTTGGCGGGATTAACCGCAACTGATCTTCGCTTCTTTTCTCCCTTTTCTTTTTTTCTTCCTCTTTTTGTTTCCTTTTAGCTCTCCTTTTTTCCTTTTCCTTCCTTCTCTCTTTTTTTAGCGGGGACGGGGGGGGGGGGGGGGGGGGGAGGTTAGGGTCTTTTGCCCCCCCCCCTCGATCCACAACTTGTTGGCGGGAAAATTGCAACTGATATACCCCTTCTTTTCTTTCCTTCCCTTTATCTCCTCTTTATCTTTTTTCTTTCCCTTTCCTTCCTTCTCTTTTATTTTTTTTATTGGGGGGGGGGGGGGAAGGGGGGAGGCAAGTCCTTCCCCCCGATCTCATTCTTCCCTCTTTTCTTTTCTTCTTCCTCTTTCTTTTTTTCCCTTTCTCTCCTCTTTCCCTTCTTTTCCTTCTCTCTCTCTCTCCTTTTTTTTTTTTTTTTTTTTTTTTTTTGCGGGGGGGGGGGGGGGGGGGCCAAGGCACGCTCAGCCCCCCTGGATCCGTGCCTGTCCCTTGCACTTGTGTAATGATGGCTTGGGGGCAGTTGCCCCCCCCCCCCCTCCGAATAAAATATAAGAGTGGTTTATTTCTAATTCGATACCAGTGATTTACAAATGTTGCTGAAATATCATGGTTTTTCCCTGAACTTCCGGGGGCTCTGCCCCTTGGGCCCCACCAAGGGCCCTAAGGCGTGCCCCTGGTTGCTCATCTGACCTTAATTATATGCCTGAAGACCTTGAGCTTCCAGGGGCTCCGCCCGCTGGACCCCAACATAGGCCCTAAGGCGGGCCCCGGATGCTCATCTATCCGTTATTAAATGCCTAAAACCCCGCCCAACGACCCCCGCCGGGGCTTTGCCCCTTGACCTCAAGCCAATTAACGCTCCATTTACTTCGCTCGCTTTGCTCTACCTGACCTGACCTGAAAACATTTTAGCCCCCCCCCCCCCCTTGAAAAACTTTCAGCGGGGCCTGCATGTACCATGTAAAAATGGGGGAGATGCGGATTTTTTTTCTGCCCCCCCCCCAAAAAAAAACAACATTTTTTGCTCATTGCTACACTGCTCCCCGTCCCTAGCATTTCGTCCCCCCGGTCATGAAAAGAAATCGCCGCCCCTGGGTATCGGATAAGGATATAAAAGGGGAGATGGAGTGAGAGAGAGGGAGAGAGAAATAGAGAGAGAGAGAGAGAGAGAGAGAGAGAGAGAAAGAGAGAGAGAGAGAAAGATTGGAGAAACAGAGAGATATAGCCTACCGTATTAAGCAGGCAGATGGAGTGGCCTGGTAAAAATGGATTTGATTTCTGATAGGCCTAGATCCCTTAAAAAAGAAGAAGTTGTATTTGTCTGTTGAAAAAAAAAAGAAGTTGTATTATAATTAATGGGTATGCCACCTTCCCCTTGAGGCCTTGACCCTCCTCCCCCCCCCCCCCCCCCTATAGATTGGCGCGTCTGCTCGCTGAGGAAAATATAGGAGTAGTCTACATGTAGGTCCCCTATTATCTTTTTAAAATTGTCCCCATGCCCAGCAGCGTTCCATACTTAAATTATTTCAGCCGGTATGTTCGAAATTCTACCAAAATGGCCCAAGCACAGGAATTAAAAGCAGGTAATTTCCTCTTTCTCTTTGCTATTTAAAATGTGAAAATATTCTTTATTCGAAATTTGTTAAAAGTATTGTTGATATGTAAATTCTCTCTTTAAAATCGGAAAAGTTCAAATTGCAATGAATTTGACTGCCCATGTGTTCATATTGGTGTCAGTTAATGTGCAGTGAGTTTGATCTTGAAACGTACGAAGCTAAGCCTAAGCTAAAAATATGATGGACACTCCTGATTAACTTACTCCTGTGCAAGTTTACGCTAACTCAATGTCAGGCGGCATTCGGTTTGTAAGACTAACGTATGACTGGCCTGTCTCTATGATTCCATGGATGTAGGTCTAGATCCATTATTTGTTGATCTAGGGCTAAGCTAGATTATAACTCGGCTCAGTAACTCGATCAACTGTTGAAGTCTGAGATTGAGAATGAGTGAAAACGCATCTTCAAGTTCAATTAACTCTGATTAAAAAAACAGAGGGGCAAGGTTTGTCACTGGGTATAGTAATATAGATTTTAGACAGATCAAACCTTTATTCTAACTTTTCTTTAAAAGAGGGATTTGCTGGAGCCTGAATGACATCTAAAATCAAATACACTTTTTATTTAAAAATTGAATCTCAATCTTATTTTCAATTAACTTGCATTCAAACAATGACATAGGGATATTGTGACCCCGCCCTCCCAAGTAATACTTACTGCAGTAGATCTACTGCACTATCCTTCACTTCAGTAGTGTTTGAAATCCTTTTCTTCAGTTGTGAAGGAGACATTGGAGAACAATGGTGTCCTGGGAGAGATCAAGGCCAGGGTTCGAGCTGAGGTCTTTCACGCCTTGGATGACCCAAACCAGAGGAAACCACAGCTAAGCAATGAGAACATGCTCATCAATGAGCTCATCAGAGAGTATCTAGAGTTCAACCGTTATAAATACACATCATCTGTACTCCTAGCAGGTATGTTGAGTAGACCTCGCAGTAGTAAAAACATTACTAGATACAAAACCTTTAATTACCCAAGGCATTCCAGAACAATATAGGCCTACAGTCATGTTTGGTTCTTGATCCACCTTCATTGGGGGGGGGGGGGGGATCTCTTTCTTCATCTTTTACTTTATATTTTCTGATTTTTCTCTGTATTTTTAAAATTATTATTCTTACCAGGTATTCCTTCTAATTTTAAAAATTCCTATCTCTGTTTGTTCTTCCCCTTATTTTGTCTTTGGCCCTTTTTCTTCTACTCTCTCTCTCTCTCTCTTTATGATTAACATGCACATCCTCCCCTTCTTCCTGTTCTTTCTTTGATGTTTCTAGACATGAAGCATATATCTTTTCAACACTAAGCTTATTAAAAGAACAATATAGCAGAAGAAAAAAAATCCTGCATTGTGTGTGTGCGGTAAATATTATCTTACCACCAAATGGTAATTATAAAAGTCTGGTTTTCTATCCCATATATGTCTGTTTATTTGTTGATTAAAAAAATGTGTTGAAATTCTTTTATTTAATATCTTTCAGAGTCTGGACAGCCCACCACACCTTTAGATCGTGAATTCTTAGCAAGTGAGCTCAACCTAGTGGAAGATAGGAATACAGCTGGCATGTAAGTAAATGTACAGTTAATCAAAGTACATGTATTCGATTGGGTATTGTTCTTAAACTTTTAAATTCATCATACATGATTTAACACATAGTATGTATGTTTTGATGGTATCTAAAAGATTTTGTCACCTCTCATTTGTTTCCTCCTCATTTTACTTGAGGATGAAAAATATTCACAGCACCTTAGTACTGCTAGTATCTTCCTATATATCACCTACTATCAAACAAATATGATGAAAACTACTCACCAAAACTGTACATGACTTTTAAGGTACAAAGAATTGGGACCAGCAAAATGACCTGGTTAAGAGGAGAGGTTGCTATAACTGTTCGTTTGTTTACAACAATGTTTCATTGTATATTTGTTCAGCCCTATGTTGTATGGGATACTATCACACTTCATCCATGGCCAAGGCAAAGGTTCCTCCCTGAATCCCAACCACCAATCATCATCATCTTCATCAGTAGATCCGTCTCACTTGAGATCCCTTCCAGTCAGGACAGACAGTCACAGAACAACAAGATCAGGTGAGATTCTCATTAGGCCCCTTTTCCCTTGTAACTGGTCAGGGGTAAACCTACAGCTTCGCCTTTTAAAAATCTTTTCTTGAACTAAGTCAAATTGAAATTCAGCATCAGAGTCAGTTAGATGTTTAAAGAAAAACGCCCCGAGAGTCAATATTTGAAAAAATATTGCGTCAGAAATGTACACTATATGTCAACTCATAGAGTATTTGGGCATAGTAATAAAAATGTGAGTTCTCTTTTTTAATGATAAACACAATCCACAATTCAATTGTGTTTCTCTTGTAGTCATTTTCAAATATTGAAAACAATGTGTTGTCTTTATACTGTTTTGATGATGGTGGAGTGGGTGGGTGGGGGGGGGGGGAGAGGTTTGCTCCTTCAAGGTCTACAGGGGCTAGTTCAGTAGTACTGTAATCATGTCAATTTTTGCATACATGTAGTTGAATACAAATTACAGAGACATGGAAGAATTTCACTTTGGGGATAACTTGATGATCTTCCATTTACAGGATCATTTTAATTTCTTTATTTCTTTGTTTCCTGCATTGATACAGATATCCTTCATCATTCTGACGTGAGAGTAGGAGAGGCATTCACCTTTAGCAACAAGCACAGATGATGTGAACTGGTCTCACAGAATGTCACCTTAGATCAAAAGACAGTTTTTGTATTGGTCTGTAGATGAACATAACACACTCCTGATGATCGGAGCTCTTCACATCAATCAGTGACATGGAATGAAAGACTTTTCCTGCTGATTTTACCAATCAGCTTTACCATTCCCATGCCAGATAATCAGAGTCGTCGGTGAAGATTATCCTTCTTCAGATGTGCCACTATGCCCAAGAAATTTTTTCATGCCATTTAAAGGTAAAGATAAGTTCCGGTCATGCGATTGCATTGTGAAAGAAGCGTTGTGGAATCGATCAGAAAAGGTTGATCATCTGGCATATAAGTATTGGTGTGTACTGCAAGGTTCTGAAATCGTCAAAATGATAAGAAATTTGGCCCAGTCTCGGTAAAGCTACAATCACTATACACAGAAAGATGTATATGGGACTACGCGACACAAGCGTGACACGTGCGTGATATCTATCAGGTCCAGGTATCAGTAATTTACCAAATATATATCAATTAGTAGGCGGTTTCCCGGCAAAATTTGTATCATCATGTATTAGTCAAAACGTATTCTTTCACATGATTGGTAATAAGAGCTTTCATTTCATTTTTTGAGAGGGGGGCATTCCAAAATTGGTCCTTACCTTTAAAGCACAATGTCAAATGCTTGGTGAACATCAAATGATACATTGGAATCTTGTAGCTTGGCGATGGGGCACATTTTATTCATCAGATAAGTTCCCCATATTATACTGAGTTCCTTTCTGTGTTCGTATGAAAAAATTAGATTGAAATATGGAATATCATCTTAGCCCCCCCCCCCCCCCCCCCCCCCCCCCCCACCCCCCCCCCCCCCCCCCACCCCCCTCAAAATTAGATATAATGCTATGGAATTCAGTATGAAACATTTGTACTCGTTAAACTAAGTGGTGTCGTGGTCTGGGGATACAGGTACATCTTTTAACATCTTTTGTTGCAGTCAAACTTTGGCTCAAATCTGTTTTGATCTGCTTTGAAGGTTGAGGAGGATCTAATATGTATAATATAACACATGAAAAGTATAACTGGATGTTGCAGATCACTTGTTTGACAACATGTCCACCAAGAGGTTTGATGTTAGATCCTAAACAAATGAGTTTGTTAAAGGTACGATGCTCTGATTCATGAAACTCAAATATCTGAGTTGCACCATCTTTCAATGGCATCACAGCTTTCCAAACAAATCCCCTCATACCTCAATACAATAATGATAATAAAACGGTGCTTATAAAGCGCTTTCTACCAAAGTCTCTAATGGTAATGATCATGTTCGCTACACCCCAGTGTTACCTGTTAAAAGAAAAAAGGATGTGAGGCTGTGTTGTGAGAAAACACTCTGTAAGCGAGTAGTTCACTGAGGTTACAAGAAATGTATTGCTACATTTCTTAGTGTCTTTCTCTTATTTTTATTATTTTCATGGGTGTCTTTCATGAATCTTTATATCCAATAGAATCTCAGGAAAGGTTTGGCAATTACGATCAATTCTAGTAATGTAATTTATCAGATGGACAAAAACAAATTTATGTCGGATTAAAAGTCGCACAATCCTCACATTCATAATTGCTTGCATGCCGGGCTGTAAAATTGTTTTATTAGAATTTCGAAATCAATTTTGGCTGCATCAATCCTTGTACATATTTGTATATTTTGACAATTATCAGTTATAAAAAGAGAAACATAAACATTCAAGTTGAGTCATAATTTGAATTGTCTGCATAATAGTTTAATGAGAGCAATACCAAGCACATTTTGTATGTATTAAAAGTAAAAGAAAATGATATTGATAGAGAGGGAGAGAATGGTGACTCAAGCCTCTCAAGGTGTATGTGTGTGTGTGTGTGTGTGAGAGCAAGAGAGAGAGAGAGAGAGAGAGAGAGAGAGGGAAGGAGAGAGAGAGAGAGAGAGAGCGAGAGAGAGAGGTGGGGAGGGGGGAGTGAAGGAAGGAGGGAAAGATGGAGTGGTACATGTACATGTAAGTGGAGCGAGGGGGGGGGGGAGGGAGAATCTAAAAACTTGTGAGACAGTTCACTCCAAAAATAACTTACCTTCAATAGAAGCAGAAAAATCAAACAAACCAATCAAAATAAGTTTGAGCAAAATCAGATATCTAATGAATTTTTGAAAAACATTACGTCTGACCCTCGTAGCTCGCAAACCCGAGTAAATGGCCACCTCTCTCGGACTCTGTTTCTTTCAGGCTGCTTCCTTCAGTTTATCTCCCCTCTCCTTTCTATCTATCTCTCCCTTCCCTAGTTCTCTGTCTCTCCCACAATCCCTCTCTCCTCATGTTTATATATCTCTGTCTCTCTCCCGCTCTCTCAGAAATGTTAATTCTCTCTCTCTCTCTCTCTCTCTCCGACTTTGTTTCTTTCAGGCAGCCTCCTTCAGTCTCTCTCCCCTCTCCTTTCTATCAGGCTATCTCTCCCTTCCCTAGTTCTCTGTCTCTCCCACCTCTCTCTCTCAATCCCTCTCTCCGACTCTGTTTCTTTCAGGCAGCCTCCTTCAGTCTCTCTCCCCTCTCCTTTCTATCAGGCTATCTCTCCCTTCCCTAGTTCTCTGTCTCTCCCACCTCTCTCTCTCAATCCCTCTCTCCTCATGTTTATATATCTCTGACTTAGGGATCAGTGGTTCTTGGCAGCCTCCCAATACCTCCATCCAAGCAAGGAACAAGGAGGTATTTCAATTTTGCTATGAGGACTTTACGAGATGAATTACATTGTCATAATTTGATTCCTTGTAGAATGAAAGACGAATTGCATTTACCAAACAAATAGCTACAATTCAATTTTTAATTTTGTACCTCAAAATATAACATCTACACCCATTTAAAAAAAATACGAAACAAAATTCAAGATATTCAAGAATTGAGAAAATCATGGGCCAAATGGTTATTATCGTGCACATCCAACGTGTCTGCCGCCATCTATTGACAGTGTTTCTCCAGTGATGAAGGACGCCACGTTGGATGCAAGGAACTTGATGGCAGGTGCCACCTCATTCGATTCTCCTGCTCTGCCCATTGGGTGAGTCTTACTTGCTCGCTGCAAAACAAAAGATGGAGGGGAAAGTGTCACAAATCTTATGAATATTCATAAATATGTTAATGTGTGATCACGTGCAGTGAATTTGGTGAATGGGAGTGAAATCAAGTACACTAAGCATGAAAACAGATCACAGCCTTGCTTTAGATTGCACATTTTGAGTTGTTGTTTCTGGGTTTGTTGGGTGAGAGGGGGAGAGGGGGGGGGGGGGGGGGGGGGGAGAGATAATAGCTAGAAAGGGGTTAACATGAGGAGGGGCATATTTTGATGATGCAGGAGTTAATTGACCACTATAAGTGAACTTTCAGAATACCTACCAATTTGGAGGTATATGAGCACTTGATTCACTCAAGGAATTAATTAGAATGTCACCGTAAGTGAGCTTTCAGACCACAAACGCCTTACATGAAAAACAGAACAGTTTTCGTAGATTGGTGAACTTTAACCCATAAGCAATGGGCACCGGATGGCTCCTCTACCGGTGTAAAAGATTCAAAGGTCCACGGGTTAACCCATTGGCTATGGGAACAGGGTGGCTCCTGTATTAAGCCTATGGGAACAAGATACTTCAGTAGTCCAAGGGTTAACCCATTGGCTATGGGAACAGGGTGGCTCCTGTATTAAGCCTATAGAAACAAGATACTTCAGTAGTCCAAGGGTTAACCCATTGGCTATGGGAACAGGGTGGCTCCTGTATTAAGCCTATGGGAACAAGATACTTCAGTAGTCCAAGGGTTAACCCATTGGCTATGGGAACAGGGTGGCTCCTGTATAAAGCCTATAGAAACAAGATACTTCAGTAGTCCAAGGGTTAACCCATTGGCTATGGGAACAGGGTGGCTCCTGTATTAAGCCTATAGAAACAAGATACTTCAGTAGTCCAAGGGTTAACCCATTGGCTATGGGAACAGGGTGGCTCCTGTATTAAGCCTATAGAAACAAGATACTTCAGTAGTCCAAGGGTTAACCCATTGGCTATGGGAACAGGGTGGCTCCTGTATTAAGCCTATAGAAACAAGATACTTCAGTAGTCCAAGGGTTAACCCATTGGCTATGGGAACAGGGTGGCTCCTGTATTAAGCCTATAGAAACAAGATACTTCAGTAGTTCAAGGGTTAACCCATTGGCTATGGGAACAGGGTGGCTCCTGTATAAAGCCTATAGAAACAAGATACTTCAGTAGTCCAAGGGTTAACCCATTGGCTATGGGAACAGGGTGGCTCCTGTATTAAGCCTATAGAAACAAGATACTTCAGTAGTCCAAGGGTTAACCCATTGGCTATGGGAACAGGGTGGCTCCTGTATTAAGCCTATAGAAACAAGATACTTCAGTAGTCCAAGGGTTAACCCATTGGCTATGGGAACAGGGTGGCTCCTGTATTAAGCCTATAGAAACAAGATACTTCAGTAGTTCAAGGGTTAACCATTGGCTATGGGAACAGGGTGGCTCCTGTATAAAGCCTATAGAAACAAGATACTTCAGTAGTCCAAGGGTTAACCCATTGGCTATGGGAACAGGGTGGCTCCTGTATTAAGCCTATAGAAACAAGATACTTCAGTAGTCCAAGGGTTAACCCATTGGCTATGGGAACAGGGTGGCTCCTGTATTAAGCCTATAGAAACAAGATACTTCAGTAGTCCAAGGGTTAACCCATTGGCTATGGGAACAGGGTGGCTCCTGTATAAAGCCTATAGAAACAAGATACTTCAGTAGTCCAAGGGTTAACCCATTGGCTATGGGAACAGGTTGGCTCCTGTATTAAGCCTATGGAAATGAGAGAATTCAGTAAACAGGTTTAAACTCACCTCACGAACTTCCTCCTCTGATTTTCCATACTTCAGCTTAATAGGGGTCATAATAGTACCAGGGCTGTAAAAGATGGTTGAAATTACCATTACAAAACAAAACATAACAAATAAAAAAAAGCATAACCATTGATTTAATATAATTGTAATAATAATAAGAATGATTATGTTCTTATATGGCACACAAATCTGCCTGAAATAGGCACTCTATGTATTAGAAATAATGAATTATGAATTTGAAAGAAATCTGTCACAAAATGTTGCAGTAAGACTGCACACTAGAGTGCACAAAAGACATCTATCAAAATATGACGGAACACTGGAGGCAGCATCACTAAAGATTATACCAAGATACACCTTTGTTCAAAATTTGAACAAAATCCCTTGAGAAATGTGGCCTATAAAGCGCACACAAACCATTCACAAAATATGGCCTTTTACCCTACAGAAGACAGAACACTTGGGGCAGCATATAGATGTGTGGATTATACCAAGATACACCTCCATACAAAATTTGAAATAAATTCGTCAAGGAATGATGCAGTTAGAGCACATACAAATCCAAAGTATCCTCTGGCATACTGCCGGGGGATACAATAAGATAAAGATGAATGATGATTTGCTGGATGTTTTCCTTTGTTAAAGGTTAACAGCTTTACATGTCATTTAATTTTGCTGAGGTAAGAGGGAAAACCAGAGAAGCTTTAGTGATCAAATTAAAGTTTCCCCTCCCAGGCACAGGTGATGCCAAATACTTACTTTACTGCATTCACTCGAACTCCCTTGGAAGCCAATTCTATGGAAAAAAAAGAAAAAAAGAAAACTTTATCCAACATAAAACACCATCAGTTTTAGATCAAGCCAAGCACCTCCAGTTAAAACTCAGACGAGTATTTTGGAGGACCAACCAACCAACCAAGAACCAAGAACCAAGATATAAGCAAGTGAGAGGGGAAGAAAGTAAGCAGATTAATTTTGTGTTTTATAACTTTCTGAAACGACAGCTTCCAAGATTTCTCCCTTTTAAATTTGTTGTTTATGGCTACCCACTGTAAAATTGCAGAAAATATGCAGGTCATCAGAAAGTATTTGTTTTAGAAGGCTAAGGGTGTTTGTCAGTGAAAAAAGAAGATAGCCCTTTAGCTTTGGAAATGTCCAAAAATAGTTCTGGCAAACTGAAAAAGAGCTATATACATGTAACAATCAAATACTTAAAGTAGATATTCATTGATTTTAAAAACTAACTTTACTTTCATTATTGCATAGTTGAAACTTTGATTCGACAAGGTTATCAAAATTCAATGCTTAGAAACATTCAAAGTACCGTAATTAACGGTGTATTAACCGCACCTTTTTGCCTCCGAAAAAAATTCAAAGTCGGGGGTGCGGCTTATACACTGTACACCCATTTTTTTTTTTTTTTTTTTTTTTTTTTTTTTTTTTAAAGTTTCGATTTATGCCCCTCCACCTGACGCTATGCCTGGCAATGTCTCCCGGCTCGGTAATCGGTGTGTTGACTCACCACTCAGAAATTAGAACACTACTCAAGTTTGTCTGTCATCTTGGTTTGAAAGTAATCTTTCTGATAGATCTCTATATGTAGTTTATAATAATAATTCCTCCAATTTTTCTTCTATTTACATGGTGTACCATAAGGTTCTATCCTAGGTCCCCTACTTTTTTTGAATTTACATCAATGATCTTACACACAATTTTTTTTTTTTTTTAAGGGCGAAAAAGAGGGGTGGAGTTAATACACAAGGGCGGTTTATACAATGTTAGTTACGGTAATGATTATTATAAATTATAAAACGCTTAAATACAGCCCCGGCATAGCACCTGAAGAGCTCTCCAAACGTCGCTAAGATATGTGAGATCACAGGATGGACATGATTTGCACAAGCAGACGATGTTCCATGACATCTCACACATTTTCAGTGCCTGTTTTTTTCATCTTCTCTTTAGTTCTTTCTCGTACTTCAGTACCGTCAGGCTAAATGTATAATCTATTGCCTCACTCTAAACCCTGCACATGGTTTTTATTTTGATGACAAATGCAGCAATACAAAAATAAAGGAATCTGTCGCTTGTAAACAAAATAAGATGCCATTGTATATTCAGCTGCACACACCGCGGTATGTTCAGCATTTCAAGCGGGAACAAATGCCGTCCTTAATATCTTTCCGGGGATTTTCAATTTGAAAGTCTGGTTTCTTTGATTGTTAATTAACCCCTATCCTGTGTATCTACAAACAAAAGATTTTAGTTATCAGAATCGGTTTCATATCCCCTTTTGAATGGTTTGAAATGGCATCACATTTATATACATCAAACTCATTGTAATTTGAGAAATAATAGCTTTGCAATTGTGTTCATTCTTTATGGGATGTCGTCTGCTTGGGCAGTATTGGTCCATTATGTGACGTCATTAAAACATTGTTATTTTTCTGGCGAATCTCTCGTATATCCCAGATGCTATGGAGATGGTTGTATTTGTATTTTTTATAAATCACCCGTTATGTAGTTGACCTAAAACTTGTACGATGGCCATCTGTTAGCATACCAGTTTCTAGTGATATATTAGTTGACATATTTGTGATTTTCTTTGAAATTGCACTTTAAATATTGCTCTCGGGAAATCACACATGGAGGTAGTTCTGGTCGTGGTGGTCGTGGTGGTCGTGGTGATGATAATTATAATAACAACTAGAGGGAACTTCGACTGCACGCAGTTGATAATGAAGCCTCGATCATGGAGTGATTTTACAAACCAAAACAAAAGCAATTTTTACAATTTTTTTTATTGTAATCCATTAACAGGTACACAGAATATTGTGATTACAAGCGATTTTTCATATACATGTATGACCCTTTGAACTTCGACCTTATAAACCTAATATCTAATCAGTTCATTGGCTCTGTAAGATAAATACATGTCCCGAGTTTGATAGTAATCCATCTCTTAGTACGGACAATGCGGTTCACAAGCTATGATACATAATGAGCCCTATGGTCGACCTTTGACTTCTTAAACTCCAAAATCTAATCACTCCATAAGCTCTGCAAGATGCATGACCCAAATTTGGTGGTAATCCATAAATCGGTTCTTGGGATAACGCGATCACGAGATCGAACGGGACGTACAGACGTACGAACGGACAACCAGAAAACATAATGCCTCCAGCTCCTTTGTAGCGGAGGCATAAAAATAGTAATAGTAATAATTATAATATTTAAATGATAATGATAATAATAACAACAACAACAACAACTTTACACGCAAGTTCTGCAGTAATATAAGGTTTGTAATTAAATAAAGTTTAAATAAAATTACTTGCCTAAAGCAGCACATCTAGTGAACTGGTCAACGGCAGCCTTTGATATGTTGTAAGGCAGTAACATTCCGGCCATCTGAAATTCAAACAATTTTTTAAAAAATTATTTAAAAAATCCTCAATAATGAAGTTCATCTCACCACATAACTAAAAAAGAAACATATAATAGAGGAAACTTAGCAAGGGAAACGCTCTCGGCGGTCTCGCCTGCATTACGCAATTCGACATGATGAAAAATTGAGGTTGGAACATTATTAATAGGCAGGGTGGCCCGTTAGCAGGCCCCACAAAATGAAGTCCTCTGAATATAATCAGCATTTTGAAATGAATACTGACCAAGAATCATCAGAAGAATTATTTACTATAAATTGTACCTCGATCGATAACTTGAATGAAATATGAACAAATTAATTTTAAAAAATGATTTATTAATTCTCATATTAAGTTGTGAAAACATAATCCAAGTCTACTGACCTAAAATGATCTTTGACCTTGTGACCTGGAATTTGTGTCATATGATTTGTGATACTTGATAACCTTGGGTACAAGTTTCATGGAATTTGAACAAACAATTTTGAAAATATTGTAACGAACCAGTCAGTTACAATTTAGTTATCTTGCAGAAAACACAGAGGGCTCAGTAAGCTTTTGGAGCGTAGGGGCTCAGAGCGCGATTACGGACGCACAGAGGCAAGGGACAGGCCAGCCCTCCAGCACCCAGGACCCGTTCGGGGATGGAGGGCCGTAACAATATGCTAAAAATTCAAAAACTTGATGCTGATGCGACAACAAAGTCTAAGTTTGTTGACCTAAAATAACTATGACGTTAACTTAGTGACCTAAAATACTGGTAACATGATTGGGGATACTTGATCACCCTACAGTCCAAGTTTCATTGACTAAACTTAAACTAAACTAAACTTAAACGTTCAAAATTTGATGATGATGCCACAACATAGTCCAAGTCTGTTGACCTGAAATGACATTTGACCTTGACTCTGTGACCTGAAATTCTACTCACATGATTGGGGATACTTGATATTCCTATAGTCTAAGTTTCATTGACTAAGAACTTATACTTTCAAAATTATATCAAAAATTAAAAAACCTAACCTTAGGTTAAGTTTTTGATGTTGACGCCGCCGCCGTCGCCACCGTCACCGGAAAAGCGGCGCCTATGTCTAGCCTTTTTGCTACGCAGGCGAGACAAAAGTGACAGATAACATATTAAAAATGCCACATTTAGAATATTTAGGCATTTGGAGAGCAATGCTGTTCAGGGAACATTTTTAATCTGATGCTCTTCCGCACATGCATAACAACAATGATAATTACACTCACAAAATAATTTTTTAGTTCTTCCCCGAACTCAACCTTCTCTTTAAACTACACGATAATTGTTACTTTGAATGTTTCCCAGCAGGGTGTTTTGATAATCTTGTTTGATCTAGTCATCCCTTATGCAATGCACCTCTACTTTAGTACCGATACTTATATGTATAATATCTTACTACCGTACATACCACTCTCTTTCCACAAACACTGGAAACATTCACCACAGATCCTGAAAAGAAAAAAGTAGATATGACAGTGAAACTATCCTTAATATAATAGTAATAAAATAGTAAGCTGCATGAATAGATTTATTATTTCCCCTGCTTCTATTGTTTATTTATTCATTTATTTAACTACCGTAATATGTAACTTCAAAGTGTTTTTAGCCTTGGGGGATGGCCGCCTGGATTTTAAGTTGGTTTTAATAAAATTAGAACAATGGAGAAACAGATCAGTGAAAAAGCAGACAGCAAGAAACTGTGTAAATAATCAATTGGCTTGAGAAAGCCCACAGGAGTGGAAAAAGGCTTGCCTACTAAATTTCATGATTGGTAGAAGCTTAAACCCGTTAGATCAGTACAAATTTGAGCAAAATCAGATTGAAATTAGAGAGTTATTTAATTTTTAAGTTGAAATCAATCAAATAGAAAAAGACAAACCTTTGGATGCAATCAAATGAGTCGTCGCTAGGTTGGTAAGTTGGATGACAGACCTTACATTGAGCTTCACTATGCGATCATAATTCTTCATTAAGTCTTCACTTGTGAGGAAACATGGAATCGATCCTCCTGCATTATTGACCTTTATAAAATGGGTTCAAGAACGTAGCAAATAAGAAGCGTCCAAATGGATCACGTGACTGTGTACTATTTTTTACTATATGCACGGTACCATTTGCATGGGGTGCATTTTGGTGATAACATCCATGGATGAAGGTTGCTAAGTAAGACTGTTGACCCATTTTATGAAACAAATAATACACAGGTATTTATTGCACCATAGTGAATACCCTCATGCGCAGCGCTGCATCGACCATAACGCACTTACACCTGTGGATTATTTGTATATTGTACATCACCAGGTATTTTTAAGTTTGGAAAACGACTGAAAGGGGGGGGGGGGCGGTAGAAATTTAAACAAAGAAAGAAAATTACTAAACTATAAATTTATGATAATGATAGATATGATAACAGCAAAAATAATATTCACAATAATTGTATAATATGAGAATGATGGTATACATGTAGATGGTGATTATAACAATGACAAAAACAGTGTGTGTGTGGGGAGGGGAGGGGGGGGGGGAGAAATTCATCTTACTAGGAGGAACTAAAATGGAGAAGAAAGAGAGGCAGACCAACTATGAATGGACTGATAACATCAAGCAGTGAATAGGAATGCCATTTGACCTGCTAACCATAACAGTTTTTGTTTTTTTACCCAACTGCTAGAAAAGCATGTCTATGCTGGTAAGTAGGCAAAAAGAGGACCGACATCTTTAAGTCTTCTCCAAGTGACTTGGTAAAGAGGATTAATGCCATACCAAAGGGCACTAGCACATTGACTTGGTTTCGAACCTGGGACCTCCTGGTTATGAGACCACTGCTCTACCAGTTAACCATCTTGCAACTGCATCTTAGGTTAGGTTTGGAGTTTAGGTAAGAGCTAGATATGGTGTTTGGTCCAGCGGTGAAGTAAAGAATTGGAGAGTGTAGGATATTGACATGGAGCGACTGACCAAGGAGCGGGATTGTATGCTCTCTTGACTGTTGGAATATAAAACAAGACTCACCAAGACATCAAGTCTCCCAAAGTGTGTGATAGTTGATTCCACAATCCTCTTCACATCGTCTTCTACACACATGTCTGCCTTGATTGTAAGAACCTGTCGAAACAGAAAAGGAACAGTCTCAGTTATATAATCATTGTTTGATTGTTTGTTTATAACTATTCCATCAAAGTGTGTGATAGTTGATTCCATGATCCTTTTCACATCATCTTCTACACAAACATCTGCCTTGATTGTAAAAACCTGTCAAAATAGAAGAGGTAGTTTGAGTTATGTTACAAGCTCTTATGAGTCGGACTGTAGTCACATTAGCTATGGTATGTTTGCTTAGATCTATAGACACTCATCAAAACTGAGTCATGAGCTTGCAAATACCCTTAATTTTATATCAAAAATAATATATAAAACAAAAAAATCGTGGTTCAATACATACAGTATATCACCTCCGAATTTAGAATTCCCCTTGTACATATACACACCCTGCCATTTTGGTGAAATACAATATCACTGGGAAATTCTGGATTTGTCAGTTCATATTCTTAAAGATTTAAACAAATATTTTCTAGGTTTCTCAATTCAGGGTCTCTTTCACTATACTCTTTTAAGAAATTCAAGGTTTTCTGAGTTGAAAAACAAAATTTTGAATGAAAATTATTTTCCCCTTCCTCCTGTACATTTACATGTATCTAATCCAGATGTCATTCAGTGACAGTCGTTAATGAATGATGATGGCATGGTAAAAGCTATTAATTTTTTTAGCATGGCTCCACAGTCCAATAGACCAGTTTACTAACATATTCAAATTTAGGGATGTTTCTTTCCTGGGGACCTACATGTAGTAACAAGGCAAATGAACCTCAATACTTGGAATCCAGTCTGCATTATGTATGTGTTGCCATGTCGGGCAACCATGGGGAAAGGTTTCAGGTTGTCAAGAACAACCCTTCTTTAAACAGTATTATGCTTAAAATTTGAATAAGTTAGTAAACTGGTATTCTGCTGGCACATTCGCCCATGCCTTTCCCCTTTAAACCCAAATAGCATATCTTTCAAAGTATACTTTCTCTTTCGCTTGTCATCACTTTTTTTCTTCAATAGTGTGCCTCCTAACTTACAAGATCCTGCATCACTGCCCCCAACCCCAAGAGAAAAATTGATAGTAATTTTCACCTTATCCTTTGCTAGGCCTTTAACCATGCAGTCCTTGGCAGACTTTTCAAGTCTCCCTTCATCACGACCCACTAAGGCAAGACCTGCTCCTTCTGCAGCAAAGTGGAGAGCTGTCTCAGCTCCAATTCCTGAACTCGCTCCTGTCAAGTAAATATTAAAGAAAATTAAAGAATTAAATGATGGTGATGATGGTATTGGTGGTGATGGTACACAGCATTCTATACCATACTAGGGAGGCCAATACCCGGGCGTAAGGCTTCTACGCCCACGATTTGTGCGCTCGTCGTCCAATGCAGAAAATTGCCAGAAAGAAAAATACAAAATAAAAATATCTATTGAATAAAATATATAACAAAAATACAATTATACACTCCACAATATGCCTATAGGCTATAATCACGGATCTGTAACAGTCTTTCACCATTTGTTGACGATCTTGCAGATTTTGACGGGTTTGAATCCATTAATTGTTGTATCAGACGAACATGACGCGCACACAAGAAAAACCTAGAGGGCGCAGAGGTTTGATCACTAAAATCCTTCTCATTGGCAGACCGTAGACCCTAAAAATATGGGATCCAATTTAAGTCAAAGAACTTTTGATAGAGATTAACATTTCAGATGTGCACAAATGCCACTTCTAACAACTAGAAAATATAAAACAAAAAAGATTATACCCTTTTAATGTAAATACAGATTTTTACAAACTGCACATTCAAAGGTAGAGTATGATGTTTATGTCAATCTTGCGTTGGTTTGAGCCCCATAGCTACATCCATCTCAAAATGAGAAGGAAAACTGAACAGTGACGTCATTGTTCGAGCCAAGAATAGAGGTCATTGCGACACAATATATGAATATGTATGAGCTCCGGTCAGATCACGCGCCAAACAAATATAGCGTAGTCTCACCCATAGTACATTATTCTCACAGCACTAGACACCAGTGTCATGCAGTAATGTATGAGAAGTGTTCAAAGATATTTCAGTAAAAAAAAAGTCTATGTGAGCAGTCTATACTCCAATTGAGAAGTTGGAATGGAAAGCCATGATTCGAAGATGTGTGCTTAGTGTATGATACATGGTTATAGTGAGTGCAAAGAGATTTGGTGAGTGTTACGTAATATTTAGAGAGAGAGAGAGAGAGATAAATAATACACGTGTGCGTACGTTGCAGTCCAATATAGTGGTGAAGTGTGGCATATCATCAAAAATCTATTTTTAGAATTTCTCAATTTTTTCTACATTTTCCGAAAGAGCATCAAAAATAATGTCCAAATGTTGAAAACCAATTGAATATGTTAAGTATTAATTGGCTGAGATATACCATCTGAATAAATATTCTCCCCATTATAGGAACTCAGTGTTATTTGCTCTGGCTCCTAACCATTCGAAGCCAGAGCAACACTGAGTTCCCATAGGCAATCTTTTTGATGTCACAGCTTCGGTACTCTAACGTTGATTCCGGATTGTGTTCGCAGCAAGATGGATGAAAGCTTTACTCCTGAGGTAATACTATTGGAATACAACTGAAATCTACGGTAATTATTAATTTTAATCACTTTTGGGGTTTATATCGATTGACTACAATCACCGTTGGATTTCTCTCTGAATTGTCCCTTCATGGCTCGATTTCAGGATTGCGGCTTGTCTGTGTCGGTGTGTATTGCGACCGATTCAAGGCTAGCCGCTGACGAGTGACTATACTTTCATGCAAAGTTTTAAATTTAATTTTGGACTTTGTCCTTGGGCCTGTCTAATTATAAACGTAATTTCGCAACATGAAATATGATTATTTCAAGGCTCTTACGGACGGATTAGCGTATATAGAAGGAACCCTCAACTTTGGAGCTAAATATCTCCTATTTTATGATGCTTCTGGAGTCGGCAGATGGGTGCAGTTGTCTTAGATAAAGAAATTACTTCCTTGAAACTTTGTTTTATTATAAATATATGAGTAGGCCTAATTAAAAAGTTAGATTTGGGCATTGGCCGCCCTACAGTAAGGGTTTTACTTAGATTTTGTCTTACGTAAGTCTTAGTATACTATAAGTCTAAAATGCGATTTGAATATGAGATACTTAGCCATTTACTTAGTAAATTTCTTACTTCTATGCTAGCTAAGTATTAATGTGAATACCGGCCAGGGCTTCCTGGAGTTAACTTGCCTGTAAAGTCAATTGGGAGGTACATGCATGGTGGAACTAATGAGCCGAGCCGCTTGTTCAGAAACCTAACCGCAACTTATAGACATGTGAATGGGCAGTGGCTTACTTATTTCACGAGAATGTCACGTTGGCCATTACAAAATAATTATGATCAGAACTTACCAGTGATTAGAACCACTTTCCCATTGAATTCTCCCATTTTCGGCTCAGTTTCGGAGGGCTATACGTATCGCTAGGGTCACGGGCCCGAGGCCGAGGCAGCAATTCCACCAGCACTGGCAGCAGATTCACTCGTACTTGTTGGAGTCTACGTTAGCGCAGTAGCGGTCCCTGGATATCACCCTCACCCGGACCGCGACCGGTCGGTAGTCTGATTTGAGCGAGCCAGTTTTTCAAGTCCTAGCTAACACTAGACCTATATTAGAATTGACCTTTTTTAAAAAACTAGTTATCACACCACAATTCGATGACTTACCTATAAACAAACTCCCCCATATCACAAAGCCCAGCCCACTCAAGCTAGTGCCCTGTCATGTCTCGTCTTAGACCGAATTTTTCTGTCTCTTTCGTTCGTTAGCCTCTGATTTGGGTAGGTCGGCTCTCTCTTTAGAGACAGAACAGCCCCATACGCTGTAGTGGCCGCGCGTTTGTACTAAGAAACGTTACACAAAACTTGGCCAAACTTAATCCCTAATTTTGATATTTTACCGGATGCGTATCCGATGCATTTAAAGTCCTAAATTAGCTAAATACTTAACTACTTCGGTTCCACTTACCAACTTGACTGGAATAATCCGTTTAATGGTCCATTTTTAGGAAATTATGGGTCAAGTCGACATCCATGAAGAAAATGCCATACCAAAGGGCACTAGCACATTGACTTGGTTTCGAACCTGGGACCTCCTGGTTATGAGACCACTGCTTATAACGGAAAAACTGTGCACGAGCTACGAGTTCGTAATGACACGCACAGTTTTTCCGTTATAATCATTTTGCCTTCGGCGTAGACTAGAAAGAATGAGACTCCGGTAAAATATCAAAATTAGGGATTAAGTTTGGCCAAGTTTTGTGTAACGTTTCTTAGTACAAACGCGCGGCCACTACAGCGTATGGGGCTGTTCTGTCTCTAAAGAGCTAGAGAGAGCCGACCAAAGACGTTTAAATATAATTACTAGACGGAAAGCAGCACGCGCGGAAACCATGCAGACGAATGGGATTAGGCTCCGCCTCTTTTGGATCATTTGAAGACAAAATAAGCTACCGAGGCGGCTTTTTGATTGGATATGAGCCTCATGAATATGTATTTTATCGATAGTATCGTTTAAGAAACCGGATAATATATTTGACCTCATTGCGTCACTTTAATTATGCAGATTTATGCACGACGCTACTACACTCGCACAAACTGAGAAGAGTTAGTTCATTGAGAATGGGTGAGTAATTGATTGAAATATGAGTAGATTAAGTGAATTTAGTCATCAATTTTGAAAAAGCTGCAATAGTCTTCGTGATGTACGGTAATTTCGTTACATTTGGAGACAGTTCTCAACAGATTTTTGGGGAAAAGACTAGTAAAATATTGCTCTTGAAATTGCACTTTGATTTTCATCGTCATGAAGTAGTTTGACTGCGGCTTGCTGTCATTTCACCCTAGTACTCCAGTTAGGGCCCCGAGGGGTTCCGGCAGGCCCACTCCGGGGAATTTCGGTGCTCATTTGCATCAAGATCAAACTTTCTAATCAAGTTTTATTTGAGATTTGATCGTCATCATGAATCTATAATTCACCAATCACCGATTTAATTTAAATCTAGATTTAACGTTATACCTTAAAGTAATCTACGAAGCATGATTTTTTTTGATAATCCAAGTGGATTAATTCTTGTTAAAATCTTTCTAGATCTAGGTCTAACAAAGTTAGATGTGGACTTGTGGCTTTACTTATCAATATCGGTGCCATCCGTTCGCTCAGTTGCATACGCGGTGCGTGTCAACTTTATTTAGACCAAAATTATCTGTGACCATTGATAATCAAACAACTCCAAATCCTATTCATTTAGATGTAAACCTGAAACTTATTCTAATAAAATATAGACTAGATCTAGACCTAGACCTATTTAAAAAACATCAACACTAGGATTTGTTTATTTAATATTTAGATTTTGTGTGGGTCCAGCGTGCTTGTCAAGTTGTCTAGAGCCTATAGATCTAGACCCTAGCTATCAGTGGCGTACGCAGGATTTTTTCAAGGGGGGGGGGGGGGGGTTTAACATTTTGAAATCGGGCCAAAAACTTTGCAACAACTCAGCCAGCCGCTGAATAAGGGGGGGGGGGGGAGTCATCTTTTTTAGGTCATCCATTAGGATTTTTTTTTTTTTTTATTAAAAAAAAATCAACACTAAAAATAAAAGGGGGGGGGGGGTTCCAGAAAAAACATACATATAAAAAAAGCTCAAGGGGGGGGGGGTTAACCCCAACCCCCCCCCCCCTGCATACGCACCTGACCCCTATTAGTTCTTTTAATGTATTAGAGAGATTTTTTCTTCTCCAAGTTGTGCAGTTCATGTTGATAAATCTATTTGTTTGTGTAAGAGAAGACCCCTACTAGTCCACGATTATGTTTACTTATGTAGTCCAATTCTTCTTGTCTTAATAAACCAATTTTACTTAAGACTACTTTATATGTATAGGCCATATAAAGCACTTTTTGAAGCACAAGTTTAATCTTCCATTTAATTTTAATTTGTACTGTGGTCCATTAAATTGGAATGTTGATTTCCACACCATATTAAAATTAAGGCCAACCATGACATGAAAAATAGTTAATATGCTAGATCTATTTTATTTTGTTATGGAGAAAGGGACGCCTTGATTGTCATATCGATTTTTTTTAAATTTTTGTTCCAACAGAATGAAACTGATGAAGATCTGGAAGGAGTTAACTGATGAGTGGACATTAAAACATTTCTTATATTTGCAAGATGAAGCAGAAAGTCCCATGCAGGTAAAATGTTCAGGCTATTTAGCACACAAATATTAAATGACCACCTATTAATTCACTAAAAAGGAAATGGAACTAAGTTTTTGTTGACAGCGTATATTGTGGAGGTATATTTTATTCTAGTTCTGCACTTAGCACACAAATATTGATATCTTTCCTTTCTTTGTTTACAAAGGAAATTTGTCCTTATTTACAGGAGGTCCTGTGTGTAAAAGAACCATATCTAATGCACATTCAAAGCACTACATGATTATACATGTAGGGTATACACAGAACCCCTCATCACTTTTTTTTGTAAGTGGTCCTTTCACTTCTTGAGCAATTAAGATGACGAAGAACACAAAATAAAATTAAAGAAAGTCTGTTAATAGGATGTATTATGGTTGATGTATATCCATTATTATCGCTTTTAAATTGAAGTACCTACATTGTTTTCTCTCATGTAGGATGATGCTTCTCTACAGTGGACGATGAAGGCATGCTGGTTTACAAACTCAGGAGAGGAACAAAGAACAGATATCGAAGGATCATATCTAGAAATGCGGGCCTACTACACTTCATACAAGCAAGTGTGCTAATATACATGTAGGTACCCCAAATAAACTATTTTGGAACAAATATCATGCAGAAAGTTATAGATCTGACAAATATATTTTTCATTGTCCGTTGACTTGTAAAAGAATACTTGACTGAATATCACAATTGTGATTTAGATTAAAAATAAAATGTCAATATAGATGAAATAAAAGTCTACATAATGTATGTTGCAGTTGCATTATTTCCAGTACATTCTCTGTTCCAAGTTGTTTGGTCATTTTATGTCCCATACTTAACTGAGTATTATTCAATTATGAGCACAAGTTTACATTACAAGTACATTGTACATGTATTACTTATTTCATACCTTGTCTGATCCAAGCTCTAGCAGGCCTATCGTCTTAATGGAATCATCAGAAATAATCTAACATGAGCAGTAACTAGTCTTGTAGGAAAAATAGTTTAGGTTTGCCCACTAGAACTCCAAGTGAATTTTAGTCCTTCCTCTTTTTTGTCAGGGCAGGTATCAGGGTGTATGTTATTATTTATTAATCATTGTTGATTTTCTTATACACTGTATCTTATTTTATTTTTCCATTCAACAGACTTGGGTTATCATTACAGCCCTTTCTTCTGAAAACTAGGCTACAACTTTATTGATGAATGCAGAAGACATCTACATGGGACTACCTCTTAAAGATGCCACCCTCATATAATGAAAGAAGACAGTAGAGATGGGTTTAAACTTGAACATTTACATACTATTTATTTGTTACTTGTATTATATGTTTGTAGAATACCACATACAAAACTAATGAATTTATCACCTTGTCAACATTCAAATAATTAAAGATAAACTAATCATCAGTGAATAAACATTAACATTTTAACAATGTCAACTACCATCTTATAGGATGAAACTGAGGACTGGGCAGAAAGAAATTTCCTTGAAAATTGAGTGATAAAGATCAGTCTAAATCAAAGATTGAATTAATCAATGATATTTTAATTGTAATTATACATGTTTAAATTCATTTACCTCTATGGACTTCTGTATTAGAAGTTTTTTAGATTATTATATTATTGCTGCTTCAAGTATTGTATGTAAGAAGGTTTGAAAGACAACCCTCTAAATGCACTAAATATGAAAACTGCTAATCATCCATGACTTTCGTATCCAAACTGCTAATTTTAATAGAATCATGTTTTTATACTTCCTAGCTAAAGAAAAAACATGGGGGGGGGGGGCTTGCTATCCTCTTGTTGTTTCTACATGGACCATGTAACAGGTTGCAAAAGTGTAAACAATATTATGTTTGTTATATGTTTATATTAGAAGGATTTAGAAAATAAAAACTTTTGAATTATAGAATTACTGTTGCTAGAAGTAATGGCAGTATTGATTTTTAAGGGAAGGGGGTAGTTTTCCAGAGAAATTAACGGTATACCAATGTAAAATGAATACAAAAGAGAAAACTATTCTTAAAAATAAAATTAGAAAGGACATGGGCCTCCTAACTAAAACCCTGGATACACTTCTGGGTCTTTTTTTTTTTTTTCAAATTCGAAATTTCCAGTGTTAAATTCCATTGTCTTACAAAAAAAATTATGTCAAGATGTTGAAATCAAACAATGTTTCACTTTCCAAGTTAACAAAATTGAATAAAATAATTAACATACTTTCCGGTCTCTCTGGTCTCTAAATTAAAAATGTTCAAAGCTCCTGCAAAGGTTGCAAAAAGGAAAAGTGAAGAGAATCCAATTGAAATGTGGACAGTAATGGAGTGAATATGGAATGGTTGATCATAGTTGATAACGAGTGCATGTAAATGAGTGGTAATAACAAGTACGACTAAAAGTGAGACGGAAAAGAACTGCAACAGGTTATTTAGTCAAGACAACAAACCTTCAGTTGCAGAAGATAATTTACGAAAGATAGAGAAAGAGAGAGAAAGGGAATCATTAAGGTACTACGATGAGAGTGGGTGGGGAAAAAACATCCACTGTGCCACATAATTTGTTTGTCTAAAATAAGGAAACTTTATACATCAGCATATTAAAAATGTAAAATCATAGCCAGAGAATGTGTTGTTATATGGCTTATAGCATGTTTGATTTAATAAACAAAAACAGACCCAGTTATTGATAGACTAAAAAGGGAATAGATCGACACAGTATTTCTTATTCAATGAAGTTAAGGCCACTCCCCCATATCGCGATGCATCCTGGGTATGAGGGGTGGAGCTTAGCAAGCCTGAGATCTGTGAAACTGGATGGTTATTATTATTTTTTGGACAATAAAGAGATTTTCAGAAAAATTTATGCTGGAATAATAATAAGTAGAGGTGTAATGATGTTTTCAAAGGCTACTTAGTTTGCGTAAATATTCAGAAATGAATTATACACGCCATTAAAACCTTTAAAAAAAAAAAAAACACCCAACAACGAGTGGAACTTTAAGGTCCACTTCCCGATGCATCCTGGGTACACCAGCTTTTATACTGGTGATCGATAATACAAGTTCGAGCGCGTATTTCATCTAACGGTGATCGCATCAGAATATTCCACGCTGGTTCGCTGAATCACTTGCGTTGCTAGCGCGCAGCGTGATGAATAAATTACCCATAATTCCGTACAGTAGATTATTTGACCTCTCTTATTACGCTGATACGCGCATTGTCTTTTACCATGTAGTGAACATCATTCCAGTACACTTTTCGCGGGGAGCATCCTACAGAATGCATAATTCATAAGGCTCATGAATTATGCAAGGTAGCTTATTTTGGCTTCTAATGGATCCGGACAAAATGGCGGAGCTTGGGGGGCCTGGAGCCGACCTACCCAAATCAGAGGCTAACGAACGAAAGAGACAGAAAAATTCGGTCGATCTAGTCTCGTCTCAAACCGAGAATCCGCTAGGCCGACGTTAATCAAAGATCGTACCTATAACAGATATATTACTTTTTGACAACGTATAGTTAACGGGGGGCACCATAATGCAAAACTTTAAAAGTAATAAATCTCTTGTAAGCATATTGTATCACACGTGTTATCTTGGATTGCTGGTATCTCTATGGTGGGAGGCGCCGTGTGTAAGTGTAATAATATGGGCGTGGCTGGCTGGCTGAAGTGACTGCATGGAAGCCAAATTTAAAAAGGGCATCGATCAGCACTTGGGATTATGTTACGCACAGCCAAAATTCCACTCTTACTTAATCCCCACTGCAATATTGTTTATATTTAGATCTAAATGTGTTTTGTTTTGTGTTTTTATATATGTGATTTTGTGAACGAGAGTGGAATAAAAAAAACTGAATAAGCCCTAGCTGCCCATACCATCGTGGTGGTAGTGATGAAAGTTTCATGAAAGCCCATGAAAGTGAATTTGCAATATTTCTGTGGAATTTCGAAAACATGAAAACTAAGTTATATTTTATGTCGGATTGAAAGTCACACAATCCCCACATTTTTGCTTTCATGGCTGCAAAATTGTTTTATTGGAATCTTGATATTAATTTTTACCGCATCAATCCTTGTACATATTTGTATATTTTGACAATAATCAGTTATAAAAATAGAAACATAAACATTCCAGTTGAGTCATAATTTGAATCGTCTGCATGGTTTATTAATTGAACAATTAATGCCAAGCACAGTCATATCGTATGTATTAAAAGTAAAAGAAAATGATATTGATAGAGAGGGGGGTGACTCAAGGTGTGTGTGTGTGTGTGTGTGTGTGTGTGTGAGAGAGATAGAGAGATACACACAGAGAGAGAGAAGAGAGAGAGAGAGAGAGAGAGAGAGAGAGAGGGAGGGGTAATGGGTAGGAAAGGAGGAAAAGAGTCGAAGAGAGGTAGAGTGTTAACGTAGTGGAGCGAGGTGGGGGAGGGAGAATCTAAAAACTTGGGAAACTGAATTAATGGAGCCTAGATTCAATGTCAACATTTTGGTGGTTATGGATGTCTATGGTAATAAATAGGATAACCAGTTGTATATATCTCTATGTGCATGATGCATATAATTATAACGAGGAGGTAAGATATAACAACGATAACAACGATATATGAGACTAGGCTCTTCAATGGACACTTACAAATTCCCCAGGACTGGGACTGGGACGAGCTACCTCAAACCATAGTAGAACTGCCTTCTTTGGAGCAGTTCAAGGTGGCTCTTGAAACAATTTAGTTCCCTTTTCAGGAACTGTACTGCATAGAGCTGTATAAAACAACTCTATACTTTACCATCATCTAGATGCTGAACAGGCGTTGATGAGCATAGAAGTAGAAGTAGAAGTCATACGTCGCTGTTTTCACGAAGTGACGGTAGTGAAAACAAAATTGCATTCACTTTGCGTTACGATTTTCCTCACTACCGTCACTTCGTGAAAATAGTTATGGTGTACGTGTACGTGTGATGCATGGCGCAATAACTGGCAGCACAGTAGCCGCGAGATGGCGCTAATGAAGCTGGATGAGATACACATGGCTGACACGACGGGTCGAGTCCTGAGCTGAGAGATGACTTGAAAAGTTTGTTTTTGACGCTATTCGACAATATATCTGCATCAGACCATAATTCTGCTTAATCAAAACGGAGTCATTTTACGGTAGGTATTTGCCATCTTTTCATTGATCACTCCCACATGTATTTGTATTTTTTTTCGGAGGGAGGGGAGGGAGGAGGAGACCACCGGTGGGAGTGGGACTGGGAGTCTGGCCCTGGCCACACGTAGGTGCATTTAGATGATTTACTATCCTGGCTGTACATTAAGCTGTGCTATTGATTCTCAACATTTTAAACACCACTGTACAAAACTCAACTGATTTCACTCAAAATCGGTAGTTTAGTGACGATTGATGTCACCTAAATAGCAGTAAAATACAATTGTTTCAACTTTCCGATGTTAGAAAAAATAATTTAAAAGTTCAAATTGTGAGTCCACTGTTAAACTTGCCGATCAGCATATATGCGTGCATATGTGTGTTAGGAGTGTTTGACTAACCATGTATTCAAATGCTGCCTATTAACACGTAGTGCAGTGCTAGAGATCAATACGCATTAGGGTTGACTCTCTATGCTTTGCTGGATTGGCCCTGGCCTGGCCTGGGACCCGCAAGCAGTTAGCATGATCTGATGCTCGGCTTGGATTGTGTCGCGAATTCACTGCTGCAGTGTAGGCCTAGGCTATATAAACACCAAAACATTGCTGGGAGCAGGTTTTGATTTACTAACATTTGCTAGTTTACCTGACTCAGGGAATGTCAATAGATCTAACTTAAAGTAGATAGAGTGTCAGTCTATATTTCTACTAAACTTTGCTAGCTTCAATCAACAACAAACCTTAGGAAAAGTTCATTAATGAATATGATATTCATATTGATATCACCTTGCCTCAATTGGCTCCTTTTACTAGGACATACTAGCAGGGCTCAAATTAATTTTTTGTCCACGGGGGCTCTTCCCCCGAAAAAAGAGCCCCCGTGAGCCTTCTCACTGGGAGAAGAAGCTATGTCACGTTAAGAAATCATAAAGATCAGTTGTATTATGCGTATATACATATGATACCAGAACAAATGTTGATTATTAGAATGTCATTTTGGAATACCTCTATACAAATACCACATTGTCTTTAGCCCGTATCAGTATTAGTATGATCCAATATAAAGCTATTATTCTTTATTTAATTCAGTATAATGCTTTTCCTCAAAAATAGTTTTGCTATTTTTTTAGGGTTGAGACGCTAAGAAATGGTTTAAAATGTACATTACACGAACCCTGAACCATTGCAAAATGATGGTGGTTCTCTCTCTCTCTCTCTCTCTCTCTCTCTTTATTTTAATCATGCATTATCAACTACATATAAAGCAGCAACCAAAAACTTAGGGTTATCTGAGATAGGTGAAAGTAAGAGTTAAAAAGAAAGTCATGCTAAAACAGCGCTTCACTTCCCCCCGCCCCCTGAAAAAAATAAAATAGATTAGTAGTCCTCTCCAGAATCCCCCCCCCCCCCCCCCCCCCCCCCCCGCTTTAATATCACATTTTCACTTGGCAGCCCAAGGGGGCCGGGGGGTGGGTGGGGGGGGGGGGGTGAGAGGAGGGGGTTAAACGTTTAGACTAATAAAATTGCACCCTACCCCCCCCCCCCCTGCCGTAGATCTGCCCATGTTACCATATCATTCCACGCAGGGGCGGCGATCCGGGGGGGACGGGGGGGACACGTCCCCCCCCCCCCTCAATTTTTTTAGGGGGGGATCGTCCCCCCCCCCCCCCTGGAAATTTGAAAAAGTGCAAAACAAATTGTATAGCATATACTGAATAATGACTGCAACACACTTTTAGGCTCTGGAAGGCCCAAGAGTGCAGCGTTTAGACTAATAAAATTGCAAAAAAAATCTCGCTCGGTCGCCACGCTCCCTCGCATAACATCCTCGTAAAAAAAAAAAAATCGCATTTCGTCCCCCCCGGTCATGAACAAAAATCGCCGCCCCTGATTCCACAACATTTTGGTCTTCCTCTTCTCCTCAAAAGGGACTTTTATATTTGCGTGGACGTGGACGTGGACGTGGACGTGTTACGTCCTTTTAAGGCACTGGCAATCACATGTGACGTCCTTTTAAGCACTGGCAGTGCCTTAAAAGGAGGTCACACGTTGCAGTCCACGTTCTCATTGTGCAAATCTAAAAGTCCCTAATATTGATTTACTGGTCGAGGTTCATTATTTGCTGACAACGAAAAACTTCTCCAGGCCATGACCATGTTTCTGCCCTTGCCCGATCGCCTCCAGCTCCAGCAGACATGGTGCGGCAGCGTGCACACGCACCGCTACTAACGGCGCAGTAGGCCTATAACCACTGCTGACGGCGGCACTGCACTGCGAGCTGAATCGGTAATAATAGGCCTACTCATAAAACGAGAAATCTTGCACGCTAATCTTAGTTCCATTTCATTGGTTTAAGGTTTGAAAATTGAAACTCAATATTGTGTTAAAGTTATAACAGAAAAGATTATCTTTATTTTATAATTCCACCGGGGCGATTTTTAATTTTGCAATCGCCCCCGTGAGCAACCTGACGGGGGCGATTTTGTAGCTCACGGGGGCGAATCGCCCACCGCTCCCGTGTATTTTGAGCGCTGCATACTATTCATAGGCCATACCCCTGCTTCAAGAGTGATGTAGACAAAATCTAAAATGCGTACGTAATCACCCCTCCCTCGCCGCACCCGATGGACCTTACACATGCACTGCAACTGGCTTCGGAGTTCGCTAGCTAGTGGATTAGCGGGTCACTCTTCTTTTTTCTCATACTATGAGAACAAAGAAGAGTGACCCGCTACTGAGTCATAGTACAAAGCTGTTTGAAATTGATTAAGAATTAATCCCAAAAATGTGAAATTTTGATACCAGAGCAGAGAGATAAATTTGCATTTTGTTCCACGTGCTCCTGGTGATAATGAGCTATCAAACTTCAAAGTATATACATTACATAAACTACTAGACTATGACCTTTTATGAGAATTTGCAATGAATGTTGGTTCTGTCCGAAATGCAAATGTACGTACAAAACTGTTTTTGTGTTGCCAATTTAAACAGGCACGTGCATGCACAGAGTTTAAACTCTGCGTGTGTGCCTTTACTATATAGGCCTACTAAACTAATCCGATAATTAAGGATTAATGTTGTTTTTGTAATGCAAATAGCATGTTTCTGTTAGAGAAAAACAGAAATTAATGATATTTCTGCATATGACGAATGGGAAAGTTGTCCATGACTTCATCACAATCCGCTGACCTAATTGCCAATTTGCATAGATTTAGTGATCTCAAGTTTCAACATTTTTACCTGTCATATATGTATTTTAGACTTTTGCCATTCTGTTTCTCTTTTTTCTCTGTATTTATACAAATGAAAAAAGGTTAGATTCCCCTAAAAAAATGAAATTGACTATAAGTATAAGTAGTAAAGTTTTCCTCTCCTCTGTATGATTTACCATCTGCACTGGACCTATCTCTGATGATACACACTACACCTATGGGAGCCAATTCTACACATAATGTGCAGGAGTACAAGGTTATCTCTAATCTATTTGTTCATGTACAAAGTGGGCAGGGACATCCAGAGATAAGGCATTCCTTTTCTTCTTTATACATCGTATTTCCTTTTCTTTTACTGCAGGTAACTATCAGCCTCTATGACAGCATTTCTCTAGACAGAGGAAGAAGCAACAACTTCAAAGGTCAAATGTCCGACAGGGTGTCGGGTCATGGCCCAGAGGATAATACAACAGTGTCCTTCTCAACTAAGCTGCTAGATGTAAGTCCTCCTGGATCTTGTTACTCACCCAAGGTTTTGTGTTTATATAGTCTTCTATTGATAGACATATTGTTTGTTGATAAGTCCCTTTTATTTTGGAGGTCACATATCTTGGCTTGATTAGAAAGAGGATATGACACTGGACTTTAGACCTTGGTTCTGATATACAGTACATGTAGCCCTAATGTTCTAATTTGCCAATAAACCTAATTTACTTATTTTATGCATACTGTTTTAACATATGTTTCTCTTGACAACTAAACCGAATTTGCCAGATGCTTGCTGTGCCGATCATAGCAACACCTAATTGTATGCAAAGTGAATTCCATCAATGGAGATGCCATTTTGCCTAGACAGTGAATCAAATAGTTGGAAAGCAATGGCTCAGAAGAGAAACATGCATAGATTGACATATATTTATAGTAAACAGGTCTGTTAGATGATTTAAATATTTTACTCTGATACTAGATAAAGGGGAAGAATTTTTTTATTTGATTTTGCCATTTGTGTTATCATCATGTGGTACACAGGGAGTGAATATGGTGCAGATAAAAGAGGATTTATTTTAGCACTTTATACATTCATTTTTTCAATATTCTTCTACTTCATCTTCTTCTTTTTTCCCTTCTCCTTCTCCTTCTATTTCTATTTCTCCTTCTTCTTCTTTGTTGTCTCCTTTGTTGTCTTCTTCTTCTTCTTCTCCTTCCTCTTCTCCTCCTCCTCCTCCTCCTCCTTTGTCCTCTGAATTAAAAAAGAGATTTTCAATAGGATCATCTTGATTTTTTACTACACTTCTGTTTTACTTAACCCACAGAGTCCATCAGTGAAGTCCTTTCTTGGTGGGGTCATAAGCAGTACCAGTTCCTGTATCCTCCTGCAGCCATTAGACCTGGTCAAGACTCGCATCCAGTCCGCCCGTACCGCAGCACATCGTCATCGGGGGCCCACCACACCCCGCCCCAAAGGTCTGCTTGCTACTACTGTCGATGTGGCGAAGAATGAGAGGGTCTTTGGCCTGTGGCAGGGATTATCACCTGTAAGTTTGCTAGATATTTTTACTCTAAGGAGAGTTGGAGACCATTTTCTGAGTTTGTGTATTTAAAGGTAGTGTGATTCTTATCAAGTTCATCAAAGCAAATTTGCAACGTCTTCTGGTTTTTAGAGTAGACAACTACATCATATCTCGATATTGCTATTGGTACCTTACACCAACACCAATTTTGTACTGTGAGTATAGGAGGAAACTTTGCCTTAGTTACCATAAAGAAAATTGTAAAAAATAAAATAATGCTGCCTTTTAGAATTTATTGTCAAGTTGATTCCATTTGTTGCAATTATTTGTTTTCAAATAGTCACTGTTGAGAACTGTGCCTGGAGTTGGACTTTATTTCTTATCTTTACACACCATTCAGACAACGCTTGGGTAAGTGCAACTTTGAGATTACAGTTAACCATGGGTTCTCATGGGGATTTTGACACCAGTTTCAGATAAGTGTTAATTTACAAATAATACACAGCAGTGAGGGCATTAGTCAGAATTACCCACAAGGTACATTTGGAACAGTCTAACACGCCTGAGGCGATAGCTGAGGGCGTTTGGACTGTTTCAGTGTACCAAGTGTGGGTAGTTTCACTAATGCCCGAACAAAATGATGTGTATTATTTGTTTCTTAAGATGATGTCTTATTTGTTTTGACTGGTCATTAGTAAAATTACATGTTAGGCTAAATAAATGCCTGGTTACGTGTACGCTCTCAACCAATCATTTGATTAGGATCCGCTTCATCTTTTTATAACAGATGTTATTCGCCAGGAGTGCCTTTCACTTTTATGACCAACATGTCTTTATGTAATGCTCTGCCATTTCCATCAATTATCCCATAAAAAAGTCATCATCATAGCTTTCCCTCACCCCTAAAACTATCCGAGAGACTGTGGGGGTATGTCCCATTCTCTCACTCTCACCCTCCTCCCGTCCCCCGTCTCTAGAGTTTCACCACCCCTCTCTCATTTCATTTTCTTAAATATTTAGTCTGACATTCCACATGCCTTTATTGTGGCGTACAACAATGCTACGAATTAGGCAACATGACGGAGCATGTATTGTGTATAAATTAACCGAAAAATAGGTGTGTAGCAAAATACACAAACTAACTTCTTATCTAATATTTAATTTCAAGATGGACTGAACTGAGTGCTTCACAAGGCTTGCTCGTAGGTGCTCTGGCAAGGTGCATTGTGGGTACTGCCTTACTACCTGTGACTGTGGTAAAGACAAGATTTGAGGTAAACAAACAGCTTCCTGTTTATAATGCAGGGGTAAAACTGCTGTAAAACTATTGTGTACTTTAGTCTCAGAATTTGAGTTACACGAAGTAGAATTGGAATGCTAAATATATTACTCATTGCGGATGTAGTATCTAAAATAATATCGCAAGTGATATTCGTTTGTCTCGCAATGTATGGTCAACAAGGATCTAAAATATCCCAAATTTTGGATGCGTACTCCCCGTCCAGCTGGCCCGCATCGAGCCAGCTGTCGTTGATTGGTTGAGCACGCTATTGTTCTCGGCTGAACCAGCGGGGCCCGTCAATTGGTTGAGCACCCGTGTGCTTCAGCAATTGTCCGTTATTGTTTTAATTATTGATCAAATTATTTGACCGACGGTCTGCTCGTGAGTATAAAACACGCTTGCTAACATTATATTTTATCACCTGACGAAGTGTTGCAGCAGCGCACGAAACGTTGTGATCTTTTAGATCCTTGTGACAATACATTGCGAGACAAACGAATATCACTAGCGATATTATTTTCGATAGAATTGGAATGTGCACATCTACCGGTATGTATTCTATTTCTATACCAGCTCACTATATTGTGAAAATAAATCTTGTAATTGCTTAGTATTGCCAAGATGCTCCCTACATGTATAGTGATGAGCCTTGGAAGAACAAATAAATATTCATTTATATAAATTATTCATTAGTTATATATTTTCTATTGATATATTTATTTTCTCAAAATAGTCAAAGTTGAAAATGTAATAGATACGAATCTGTCTGTAGAAGTGATGTTTTTATTTCAGAGTTACCATGAACTATCCCAAGTAATAGATCCTTGTTTATTCTAAATGAAAACAAGCTAATGTAGTCCAAAGACATTTGTATGAACTTGCTGTCCTATCTCTATTGACTTACTATGGTTCTCTATCTGTTGTTTGATGGAACAGAGCAAACAGTATTTTTACAGAGGGATTGCAAGTGCACTTAGGAATATACACAAGCATGAAGGATACAAAGGTTAGTTTGGGGTCATGTTTTAATTTCCCTAGCATTGGTGATTTCTCTGTACAATGCAAAGTGATAGACCTACATGGAAATTGCTATGGATTTGAAGTAGCAATGAAAGAAAAAAAAAAGAGATAGAAAACGTTAGATTTAATTATTTGTTTATAAAGATATTTCTATATGTTCACAAGAATAAACCATATGTTCCTTAAATTTGTTGACCCTAAAATGGCAGGGTTATTTTGATGCTCTCCCTTAGCTGGAGGAGGGTGGATTCCACACTCCATCTCAGCCATGGAGTGACAACAAATTCTTAAATTAGGCATTTATATCATACATATTCTCATGAATAAGCTGAGGAGGTTTCATATCTATATCTCAATCCGTTTTGGCATTATTGCTTATTAATTATTTTCATGTTTGTATATTAACCAATCTCTATTATGTACTGTACATATAGTTTATAGAGAAATGTATGATACCCATAGTTGAAATTGTGTTTAAATTTGGTAAGAAAAGAGGGGAGGTTGTTATCTGCCCCCCCCCCCCCTCCCCTCAACATTTTCCGGCCACCTATTCTTTTGGGAAACTTATATTTCCAAGGTACGTACAGATTTGTTCTGCACCGACAGGATCCCATGTAGTACTGTCCAGATGCACTAAGGCGTGATTCTCATCAAAACAAATGAATCGTGTATCAAACTTAACACCAATGTATGTCCATTTGATTGTGCAGGTCTGTACAGCGGGCTGTCAGCTACTCTCCTTCGCGATGCTCCTTTCTCCGGTCTTTATCTGGCTTTCTACACCCAAGCCAAGCTTCTTGTACATTCAGGTAACTAATTTTCAATACTCCAGTCACACTGGCAGACTAACCCCTAGTATCAGACCAATTCTAACCAATATCTATCAAACCATTGGCCCTGTCAGGTAATGTAACTATTGATCAATTGTTGGTCTGGTGTCCGCCTTGTCAGTGTTATTTGAGTATGATATAAATGCCATTATAAGTACAATGCTCAGTGGTTAGAGGAAGGGTCTTGGAAACCGAGTGTCTGGATCAAAATTCACACAAGAATATTTTTTTAAATCTAACATTAAAAAACATCCATGATATGAATTGTATTATCAAGAAGAAAATTATGCAAATCAATGTTGGATGAGTGTTTTCTCTAAAAATATGACAAATGGTGGTGATGACACTTTTGGATGAGGCTCAGTGGTAGAGCAGTGGTCTCGTAATCAGGTTCTCAAGTTCCAGGTTCGAAACCTTCGTAATGCAGCAATCTTCATTACCAAAAGTCACTCGGAGAGAAGGCTTTTTCCGTGTTGGTCCCCTTGTTACTTACAAGCATACACATGCTTTCTTAGCAGTCCGGTAAAAACAAACCATCAACCCAACCAACCGACTTACAAAAGACACTCTCAAAAACAATGATTTTACAAAAAGTATGTTGATATGTTTACTGATGCTATCCTTTTGAAAATCATTTCTATTCGTTGATATCATCATGATAATTATCATTATACTTTGATTGTGCAATCCAAGCTTCCAGCCAGGTGACGATTCCTCTTCACTTTGCCTGTGGTGTAGCTGCCGGTATTCTTGCCTCTTCCGTCACTCAACCTTTTGACCTCGTCAAGACAAACATGCAGCTGAATCCTTACAAGTACCCGACCTTTAGGTCCACTTTCAAGGCAATTATCAAGGCAAGTCTTTCTCCTTTTTAACCTTTAGTAATAAGGATAATGAAGAAGAAGAAGAAGAAGGAGAAGTAGAAGGAAAATAAGGAGAAGGAGATGGAGAAGAACAAGAAGAAGGAAAAGGAGAAGAACAAGAAGAACTTGCACTTCAAGGGGAAGTCAATAGTATAGTATTAATGACTGCTTTGAGAGAAATAGTTGTTTTATTACGCTCAAGGGAAGGTTAGAATTGTGCTATTCCCCGAGGCTTGCCGAGGGGAATAGCCCAATTGTAACCTTCCCGAGAGCGTATGAAAACAACTATTTCTCGAATATTAAAGCAGTCATTAATACTTTTATATGCCGAAAAAAAATAGACTAAAAAATAAAAAATAAAAAATCCTTTTTTTTTTTGTCGAAGGTGAGAGTCGAACTCTTGCGTATAATGAGTGATGAATTTTACACCAACGCCTTACACCACTCGGCCATCGCGCGCTGTTCACATGCTTGGCAGTTTTGTACAATATATACATTAAAATGGATTGAAACCGGCTTCGGCGTGATGAATGCTTCGCAAAAGCACCCTTCTTTTACTTTTGCAATGCATATTGGCACGAACTTAGATCAAGATCTATCGGCAGATGTTGTTTTTTGTTTTTGGAAGTTTATTTTCGTCTTCATGTCAACAATGCAAGATAAAATTGTCGGTAAGATCGATCGAGATTCAATTGTATTGAAATTACCGACCAATCCTTCGCACACATACGGTATCCTCGATCGCTCAAACCATTTTTTAACATGTAAACCTATGGGGTAACCATGGAGGCTGACCTATTTTTTTAATAACCATGGTTATTAAAAATATTAAATGTTTTATGCATGGTTACCGGGAATTTTACAGGAACAGTTGAAGTTTATGAATGCAATTCGACCAATCAGATGGCTGGATTTCTTAAGTGAGGTATATAATTAGTTTTAATAGAAGCAGAAAATACAATAACTCTTACATCCTACTGGGTACCTATTTAACACCTGAGTGGAGAGAAGCAATGTAGATAAAATGCCAAGCCATAGGTGGTTTTAACCCTCTAAATTTCTTCTCTTTTTTTTCTTTTTTTTTAATAGTCAAAGAAAATATAGTTATTATGCCTCCGCTACAAAGTAGCCGGAGGCATTATGTTTTCTGGTTGTCCGTATGTCTGCACAAATAGCTTGTGATCGCATTATCATGAGAACCAAAAGACAGACTCGATCTCAAGACATGTATTGCAGAGCCAATGAACTGATTAGATTTTAGGGTCATCAGGTCAAAGGTCACCGGGCCCAGTAAGGATGCCTATAAGTAGCTTGTGAATGCATTATTAAAGACGACAGATGGATTACAATCAAACTTGAATTTTAAAAATTGCTTCTGATCTGTAAAATTGCTCTATGGCGGAGGCATCATTTTCGACTGCGCACAGTCGAAGTTCCATCTAGTTTTCCTTGATATTCGAACTTGTTAAATGTATTGTAATGTTACATTAGATGCATGGAGGGCTGGTTTTGTCAATATTACAGTTAGAAAATATTGTTTACCAACATTTGAACAGTAAATACTATTTATAACAGATACTATTTATAACAGTTGCATGGGGTGGCACAATACAGATTATTGTTGTATGCAGCGCTCAAAATACCCGGGGGCGATGGGCGATTCGCCCCCGTGAGCTACATAATCGCCTCCGTCAGGTTGCTCGCGTGAGAAGGCTCACGGGGGCTCTTTTTTTTTTTGAAGAGCCCCCGTGGGCAAAAAATTAATTTGAGCCTTGGTTGTGTGTATACTACACTGATCATTGAACAACTATCTGGACTATCAGCTACTCACATATATATTTATAACAAAAATGATTGCTGTAAGGGGAACTAGAAGGGCACAGAGATTTGTACCATGGCCAGCAATGTTATCTAATCATTTTATTTGTTAGAATATTAATGATTTGGTTTAACAAATGTAAAGAGTTTGGGCATAGGTGGTGGGGAAGGGTGATGTTGTGGTATGGTCATGAGTCATTTGAGATAGAGAGGATGTTAATTTCCGCTCAAACACCAACGCCTCTGGCAAGAAATTGATCTGCATCACCCACTTCAGATCTTAATGCAAGTAGTACTCACAGTTGATATGTTCAATTGCCCACCAGAAGGTTTTAGCATGACCTGGGGTTTGACCTTTTGCATCTTTAATTGTTTCAGAACCAGGGTGTGACAGGCTTGTTTGCTGGCATGGTCCCAAGATGCATCAGGAGAACTCTAATGGCTGCAGTCACATGGACAGTCTATGAAGAGGTTAGATTAACATATTGTATCAGACATTTGAAAGAGGAGGAAGTCAAGTTCCTTTATGAGTTAATATCAGGCCTGATAAAAACCCAATTTAAATCGGTTTCCCGATTTTTATTTATTTTTCCTGATTTTTTTCCCGATTTTTTTTTCTTCCCGATTAAAAAAAAAAAAATCCAGATTTTTTTTTTTTTCTTTTTTTTTTTTTTACAATTTTTATTTTCTTCCCCATTTTATCCTGATTTTCCTGATTTCCCTCTTATTTTCTCTATTCTTCCCTATTTTGCCCTATTTTCCCAAATTTTCCCAAATTTTCTTACTCGAAAGGGGGGGGGGAATGCTGTTAGATGCCATTTTTTCCCCGCGAATCCTCTTCTTTTTTTTTTCTCAAGGGGGGCGTGGTTGAGGGGAAAACAAAAAACCTATTTTTTTTTTAGTGCTCACTATCACCCCTGCAATATTATCACATACAGATCTTTTTGTGTATTACAGGCCCAAAGACATTTTCTTGAATCGTTGCTTTGGTGATCGACATGCAGGCCACTCCACGCTTGAGTAGTCTACTCTCAAATTGATTTTGCGTATTTTAACTTGCAAAATGTCTTTACAGAAGTAATATTTGAAGCTCATATTTTCAATATTGGAACAGCTAACATGTGACATTTTTGTTGATTGGTACACTTACAATATTCACTCTCTCTCTCTCTCTCTCTCTCTGTCTCTATCTCTATCTCTATCTCTATCTCTATCTCTATCTCTATCTCTATCTCTATCTCTATCTCTATCTCTATCTCTATCTCTATCTCTATCTCTATCTCTATCTCTCTCTCTCTCTCTCACTCATTCATGTTTTTTTCACACAGATGAAGGTCAGGCTGAATCTGAAATGAGATGTCAGAAAAGAAGCCCCCACAAATTTTGCTGAAATGACTTCAGGAACTGATACAATGTGTGTGACGGTCATAAGAGATGTATGTACATATTTTAAAGAGCATTTAATTGGAAATAACGTGGAGACAGTAGAAAATGCTATGTCCAAAAAGCACAGTGCGGCATCGTTAGCTGCAAATAATGAATGAAATTAGTACATTTATTTGTTCATTGTTTCTATTTCAGCTTTCAGTTACTTTTCATGATACTATTTTATTGTGAAGTTGTAATTGAATGTAAACTAACCTACTTTGGGAATTGATAATTTAGTTAGTTTAGATTATTGGACATTGAACAATTCTCGCTGGAACATGAGTTGTACAACTAGTGAATGATCCAATTCATTATTTTGCTGAATAGTACAGTTTGTACTTTCATTTTCATTGTGGTACATGATAATCAAAGCTATATTTTTTATATTCTAATTGCTATACATTTAATTGTGATTTGAATGATCAAGAGGGTCAGTTTGTACTGTATGTTACAATAGTTTTGCCAGGGTTCAATAACCAGTATCTGTTAATGACTCAGTTACTCAACTGTGTTTATTAGTGACCACCTGTATCACATGATTTAGTGTCCTTGAAGCACACATTTGTTTTTGGTTTCCCTGAACAGCATTTGCAGTAAAACCTGTGTATTAAGTAAACTGTACATAAAGACCACCTGCTTGAAAGACCACATATTTTGTCCCACTGAGCAGTCTTTATTCACAGGTTTCACAGTAAAAGTAATTGGTTGAATTTAATGATTAGTAACAAGCCACCTTCAAATAGTATCAATATAGGTCCATGATCATTATGCAGTGCTTGACCATTATTATTTGTAATCATATGCTTGCATACCTGCCAACCACTCCGATTTAGGCGGAGTTACTCCGCTTTTTTCATACCCACTCCGAATTCCGATTGCATGCCTCAAAACTCCGATTTTTTGTAATTTTAAAATATTTTTAAAACAAACGACTGTTGCATAAGACTAAAGCATAACACAGCACTGATAACCAGATCACGCCTTACGGGGAAACGATAAACAAAAGTACTTTATACAGCGAATGCCGCCTCACATAGCCTCCGCACACAGCGCTGCATGTCGCACGCATTCACTCATAGGTTCACTGAATTTGACTACACTGGATAGACACTTTCGCGCACATGGTCCGTCCGCCGCCATCTTGTTTAATTCCAAAACAACACGGCCGCTACGTATGCTACGTGCGTTCGTGCCTTTTGAGGGGAGTATGGGGGTAGATGATCGTGCGCATGGCGCCCGCATTATAGTAGCGAAGACTTCGGTGATTCAGCGGGCGCATTGCAAGTGCAGTGCGGTATACGGTGTGTTGTTGTTCATGAACGCCGGGCCTAGCGGCCTGGGCTGTATGGTGTGTCTGTGGTACTGGTGAGTGTACGTGTGCGTGTGTAGAATACGAGCTCTGCCATTTGACTGTGGATTCGAATTTGCCATTCGACGCTTGAACGAGGTGTTTTCTTCCTGAATATTATCATGGATTCACTCAAAAGAGCGAGTACCCGAGAAGGAGATCCTTTGACTGGAAACAGATTTTTAAAAACGTTTTTATGCACATCTTTATTTTGGACTTGAATGTGGTAGGTTCGAAATGCAGTAAGAGTGATTGGGTGTTTGTGTACGTTTTGCGCGAAAATTATGCTGCGGTGTCTTGCGTTACGGAAAGACCCCCATTTTTTACGGACAAATATGGTAAATGTTACTGACAGCCATCCTATAGGGTTGGCATCTCTGCCCCCCCCCCCCCCCCCCCCCAATCTACGGGCTACTAGTACTACCCCAATCCTTCGGTGGTTCGCGACCTCGTAGTCCATCCAGAAAAATTTACTCCTAATTTCTCTTGTCTCAGGTTGGCAGGTATGTGCTTGGGTAAACAGTACCGGTAAGTACCGGTAAACGTACATTGTATTATGTGCATGATGAACGTTGCTTTTAGTAGGTTGTTTATTATGTTAATTATGGCTTTTGTGTCTCTCTAGGAACCTGCCGTTTATCAAACAGCCTTATGCCAATTGTAAACAGATCAACTGGATTTATTTATATTACTACAAGTTACATTGTTATGTATCATTAGTTATGTTCTGTTTATTAGCATGTGTGTTAATAATAAAGTGCCTTTACAAATATTTCATCAGCTAATACATGTATCTCAGCAGTTGATGTTTTATGTAATGGTCTTAGGGTTCATCTACAAAAAAAAATGTCAACTGTGACAGTTTACATTTGTTTGTATGTGCCTAGGAATTGCAAGTCGCAAGGTAGTTTACATTTTTTAAATGTGCACATGAATGGCAAGTCAGGATGAAAAGAGTTAATGCATGTGTTTGCCTTATAGATGCTTACTTACTTATATTACCCGTGTATATAGAAATGTCAAGTTAACTACGGTATGAAGGCTTTATATTGCAAACAGTAATCATTTAAAGAAATAAATATTAATCATAACGATGCTACATGTGATCACCATCTTGATTGGTTTTGTTTATGAGGAATGAGGATAGAGGTAATTGTGTTAAAGTGGATGAAGGCCAGCTTTCCTTCTTTCTAGAAATCATTTTGTGCAATTTGTTATGTACGGTATGTGAAGAAGTATTTTTGATGTACATATGAATGAAAGAAAATGAAATAACCAAATGATCTAGAGGCAACTCACAAGATGTAATGCTTCATATCTGCTGTAAATTTTACAGTAAATTTAATAAAGAAATAAAGATTACAAGTTGCATATATGATTATTTTTTACTGTCTTGTAAAATATTCATGGTTACCCCGTCTCACAACATGCTTGAAAACCAAGGTTGTCAAAACATTATCAGTATACCGTGTGAGTCAAAAAAAGTTTACACCTAGAAAGTTGCTAATTATTTTTAAAAAAATCATCTATGAACAGTAAAGTATTATGCATCTTATGAAAGAGTGTTTTATCCCAAATCATTTGGTATCATTTTTGTGTGGTATGTGTTCATGCTTGGATGAACATGAGGCATTGTTTGCGAGAGTACAAAAATCGACTTGCGCCAAAGTGATGCGGATTAACGCAGTGAGAGAATGAATTGAATGTATCAAATGAAATGCATTGGATATGCTTTTTGCAGAAGAAAATTCACACACACACACACACAAATGTACATTGATATTCGATAATGGATTTGTGTGGCATGATTAATTTTGTTAGGGTTGTTATTTGGATCTACAAAGACCGTATTAATACCCAAATCCCAATTGTTTTTTTCAAACCTCACACAAGCAACTTTGGCACAAATCGATTTTTGTACTCTCGCAAACAATGCCTCCTGTTCATCCAAGTGTGAACACATACCACACAAAAATGATACCAAACGATTCGGGATAAAACACTCTTTCATAAAATGTATTAATCATTTACTGTTCATAGATGATTTTTTTTTAATAATTAGCAGTTTTCTAGGTGTAAACTTTTTTTTGACTCGCACTGTAGAATAGGCACTAAAAGGGATTATCCATTCAATGAAAAGAGAAATCAGAGATGTTTAAATTATAGCAAGTGTGATTCATTAAAGGTACTATGTCCCTTTTGCAGCCAACCTCAAATTCTGTAGAACTTTGCAGGAACTATGAATATGTCATGTATGTCCTATCTGTGAAATTTAAACGTTAGCAGTGTCCTCATATTCAAATTATGCAAGGAAACCTGTTTACTTGCTAGACTTCACTGTCAGACACTATTGAGTGACTCACTGGCTTTTTTTTCTTCTTTGGTAATAACATACATGAAAAGAGTTGTAAAGGGTCCATGAACATTTGTCTACATCAATAACCCACTTCTTGTGATGGCCAAGATTAAACTGATTGAATCTTTGCGCAGCATAAAACGTATGACCATCCGGTACAATTGTCTGAAAATCAAGACTATTACTTTTGGGCTCTATAGCCCTAAAGTCGATTTGACAACTAATAGTCATTATTTTCCCACTTGAAAATATTTTCAAGCCCCAACCTTTTTTAGGGAAGTTCTAAATAAGTATTATCTTTCAAATGCAGTTGGAATTTAACTTTTTCATTTTTTGGCCTGCAAATAGGACTTAGTACCTGTAATGCTGATTATGGTGATGTATATGTGTGCCTGTGCTATTTTCTCTTTCTCTCCAAGTACTGCTCACTCTTTTCTCAACCCCTCTTCTCTTTCTCTGCTCCCATTCTTTATCACTCGATTCATTAATGCTGATAATGTTGATGTGTATGTGTGCCTGTGCTACTTTCTCTTTCTCTCCAAGTACTGCTCACTCTTCGATATCCCCCTTTCTTTTCTCCCCCCCCCCCCACCCCCTCTCTCTCTCTCTCTCTCTCTCTCTCTCTCCATCCCACCCCAAACCCTCTCTATCTTCTTCTCTCTCTTTCATTCTCCCTCTCTCTCCTTATCTCACAATCTTTGAGATCAGCACAAAAGGAAGTAGATAACTTGTTCTGTCATGATAACATATCAATTTCATTCAGTACATATATGTATATGTATAATGAAAGGGAAAGAAAAAAATGATTATACTCTGTGTGGCTGCAGAAGCATAAAAAATATAACTAAACATAACCCCACTATTTTTTTTTCTTCTTTCATTTTGTTAGAAAGCCCAATTTCCATTTCTTGGGACAGTCTAAAAAGGGAAATTCTAAGATTGAATCGAACATGATGATATTAATTTTTATCATTGTATGCTCAGTAAATTTACAAAAATTTGACAATTAAAGATAAAGTTGAGTTCTAGTCATGCGATCGCATTGTGAAAGAAAAGGTGTGGAATGGATCAGAAAAAGTTGATCATGTAGCATGTAAGTATTGGTGTGTACTGCAAGGTTCTGGAGTCATCAAAATCATAATAAATTTGACCCGGTCTTGGTAAAGTAACAAGCACTGTACACAGAAAGATGTATATGTGACTACACAAATTGTGTCGGGCTACTACTGTAACCTTGATTTCATTATCTTTCTATGCTCATTACTCAGTCAGTATACATTTTCTACCAAAATTGTTTGGCAAATGACATTTATTTGTAATCTTGAACATTCAGTGTAAGTTTCGTTTGATTCTGTGAGAAATCATTTTCTTTTTTTACCAGAACTCAAGTTTATCTTTAACTACTCTCGGTAAAAAGAAACATGATAAATATATTAATCATATAATGACACAGCTTACACAATACAGCATATCAGTAAAAGGAGCCAAATTGTTCCAATGAATACAGATATAAGAAGGAGGTTCAGGGTGATTTTATCTATAAAAACTCTTTGGAGGGCCCTTTAAGAACAATTTCTGTCAATGTATTGTAATCCTTTAAAGTCACTGAACATGGTCATCATACTCGTAGCAATGGCCAATTTTGCTTTGAAAAGAAAATTTAAAAGGGATTTCAATTACAGTAGCATGACTCACCTAACACAAATGTATAATTAACATGGAAGACGTATTCTTTTGTGGCCCCTTTCATTGATTTGGATAATACTCATTCTCTTGACCAGTTTAAGTCCTTACTGAAAACGCACCTTTTTAATTCATGAATGCTATTATGCAGTTGTGAGTCAGTCAAAGGAGGTGCACACCATCTTATTCTTTGTTTGTTTGATATTTTGTTTGATCTTATGTATGACCTTATGTTTGATCTCATTTTTATTTTTGTTATTATATATGCATGATTTATTGAATAAAAAACATTTATATTTTTTGTGTTTATTACAAGTTTTAGTTGGTAATTTTAAGTCAGACAATGGTGCACTTAGAAACACCTGTATTAAGCGCCTGATAAATTTTATTTTAAGGAAAAGGCGCTATATCAAATATCTTTTGGATTGGATTGGATTATCTAGATATATGTTTATAACTGGTTTACTTATGAGCTAGTCCAAAGTATTTTGTCCCACAAGTTACAGACTACATCAAAGATTTTAGTCCATTTCATAAATTTATAAATTTGATAGCACTACTATAGCTTGGAGGAGAGAAAGGATTATGTATTCAATGTTTATTATATTTGATAACTTATGATACTTGGTAACTCATAGTACACAGAGCAACTATAAATACAATGGACTTGCCCTTATCAAAGTGTAAGGCATTGAAATAAATCTCTCCTGAGAAAATTGATTTGAACAATGACTATTGGAGACGCCAATTCATATCGATACATTACGTAGACATCACTGCTTCTCTCTTCTTCACTTATTAATCTACACAAATCTTGAAATGCATTTCCTGTATAGTCGCTTTCAAAACGTATGAAGAGTAGTGGATCCTGCTGACCGTTGTGAATGACTTCACAAAAACCTAACGATGAGTATTATACAAGTAGTCCATGAGTTCAAGAGCATTGTATTCTGAAGAAGGTGCGTGAGGAACCTCATCGCTTCTTGCCCCGCGCTCCTCCTTTGGTCCTTTTCCTTCCAGCAGTCTTGGGCGCGGCTTTCCTCGACCCCTTTCCTTTTCCGCCCTTCCGTCCCTCTCTCTTCTCAGCCGCCGCACTCTGTTGCTCCTCCCTGATCTGTCTGTTCACAGCCTGGATGGTGATAAAAGAAGAACGAACAACAAAGATTACTACAGTGAGTCTATCTGGTTGTCTGCATTATTAGAGGTAAAGACCAGTATTGGAAACGCCCCAATTTCAAAAAATGAAACGGAAGCTCTTATTACCAATCATGTGAAAGAATATGTCTTGACCAATACATGATGATAACAATTTTGCAGGGAAACCGCCTACTAATTGATATATTTGGTAAATTAGTTTATCTATTGGTATGTGAGAGATAAACGCACGTGTCGTGCACGTGTGCGTAGTCCCATATACATCTTTCTGTGTACAGTGCTTGTAACTTTACCAAGACTGGGCCAAATTTCTTATCATTTTGATGATTCCAGAACCTTGCAGTACACACCAATACTTATATGCTAGATGATCAACCTTTTCTGATCGATTCTACAACATTTCTTTCACAAGGCAATCGCATGACCATAACTGGTCTTTATCTTTAAGCACCAAAGAGTATTTGCTGGAAGACATCTAACCTCACAATGTAAATATCAAGGCTGACAGCACAAACTGATCAAGGATGTTCAATGAAAGTTTACTTAATGAAACAATGTAACACAACTACAGCCTTTTCACAAGAAAGCCAGTTGGCATGGAGACCAAACATCAATTGTAATCTGTCATATAACAGGTTTAATGACCCCTATCAATTCTACAAGAAATGGCTCTCCAAAATAAATGTATTTAATGATTTTTTCCCCCTGGATAAAGGAACACAGATCCATCAGGTGCATCACGCTTGTTGTCCTTCTCGATTATGATTGAAAACAAAAATTTAGCTATATGCATTTAGGCATGTAGTATCAAGAGAGGTGATCTCTACATTTCAAGACTTTTAACGGAACAACGTACCTTAGTGACATTCATCTCAGGTCTGTTTCTTGAAAGTCCATCTAAAATGTTTTTCTGAAGATCCTGTTCCTTCTTCAAGGAACCCATGACAGGTTCAAACTAAGGTGACAGAAAAAGAATACAATCATCATCATACGATCAATCCTCATTACCAAGTCTCTTGGATAGGCTTTAAAGCTACTGGTCCCCTGATTGCTCACTTACAAGCATACACATACTTTCTTTAATAGCAGTCAGGTAAAATAAACAAACCAACCAACCAATGGGAACAGATCAGCACATTGCTCCAGAAACACACTCTTGAATTCAAAAGAAAATTTCCTTTCAGGAGAGTTTATACATTTTTTGAAGGACCGATAGCACGGTTACATCTGTCATTGTTAACTTCTATCTTCTGCATAAGTCAAATGGTACATAGATGATTGCATAGTCTGCTAGATGGATGAACTAGTGTGGTTACTCCAAGCAATGGCCCTCCAGGCCTTCCTTTCTAGGCAATGATACAGAATGATATAGTAGCTATACTTTCCTTTATAAGCTTGTGAAGTGGTATTGTGGGGGGGGGGGGGGGCTGAAAAGCTTTGGTCAGAGTGAACACATTTAGTTAGCTCATGATATTTTCTTGCCTGAAAAGAGGTCTTAGATGTTATCAAACAATCTGTAAGCCATACAATGTGAAACTTCAAACAAACAGGTAAAGAAGAGTACATTACCTTTCGTCTTTTACCAAGATTCTTGATCAGTGGTTCCTTGGGCTGTTGGGAGACAAAAGGAAGTGAACGAGGAAAACAAAACAATTGCGACATCAAAACACAATTTTGGAACTTCACACAAATTCCTTACTCAAGTCTACTTTAAAACCACAAACTCACATTTCCTGAAACTTTCACAAATTGCAAATTGTATATATTCAGTGTAGTTATTTAATGATTTCATGATATGAAAGTGAGTTAACTTGACGAATTCAAGCAAACACTAATGCAAGTGAGATATCCATATCTAAGAGCATCCTGTTCTTTTGATGTTATTAACAAAACCAGCTGCATATAAAGAAATATTTGCTTGGGGATTTGGATGCCTGTTAGCACATATCTTTCCAATTAACCAAAACTGCTTGACTAATAAACATTATGAAGTGTCATCAAGAGCTTATAATCGACCTACATATCTTACCACAATGTATGTCACTTACCAGTTTGTTTTCAAACTTTCCTATCGATGCTGTAGAATGCTTGGATAAATGGATGGCCTTATTGACCATGGTTTTGTCTGGTTTCTCTGTTGGAGTGAGCCCCACTCCTGGAACTGAATTGATAAGATTGCAAACAAAAAATAGAACACTGTCACAAACACAGAAATGTTGGTATTTGAGTCCCAATCGGTGGACTAGATTTTCACCCTCTAGCTTGCTCCAATATTGGAATGTAGAGTAATAGCATAACAAAAATATGTAGCAAAGCTCTCATTTAGAGGTGGATGATTGCAAGAACAGTTGACATTCATGGCTTCAGAAATCGGTCCTTTGCCTGACCATCAAGGATAGCGACATGGCTCAGTGGTAGAACAGTGGTCTTGTGACCGGGAGGTCCCAGGTTTGAAACCAAGACGATGCGCTAGTGCCCATTGGTAAGGCATTGATCCTCATTACCAAGTCTCTCAGAAAGGGACTTACAAGTAAACAAATGCTTCCTTAGCAGTCAGGTACAACAATCAATGAAAACATTAATCTGTGTAATAAGTACTTTTTAGAACCTAGCAAGGCTCAGCGAGGACCTAACAAAACGACAATAGCTCTGGCCTTTATTTCGTCAAAGATACAGGTTTAGGATAGGATTGGGTTGCAATTGGATTTAAGGTTAGCTTTAGGGTGAGGTGTAGTGTTTGATGTGGTCTATAAGGCGGGAGCAGGTGTTGTAAAAATACCAAAAGATGTCTCACCTTTTCTTTTTTTTGCTCTGGCGATGTTCCGAAGCCTCTGAAGCTCATTCTTGGCTACTCTCTCCTGCTTGGCTTTCTTCTTCTTGGAAAATTGGTCCTCCATGGGATCTGGTATCAAATATCACACATCATTAATATCACATAAATATAGACTACTCAGAGGGTTAACAATCTTCCCCCACTAGTGGACTACCAAGGGTAGAAGTGTTGCATCTTAAATAAATCTTGAGAGGAGCCATAAAGTTTCAAGTTTCAACTCAGACCAGTTGAAATTTGATCTTCCCTTATTCCAATTTTTACTTAAAAGAATGATGAAGAACACTAGAGTGGGTATAACAGAGACAAGCAGTCCCATTGGCACAGCCCACAATCTCAAATCTCTGTGATATATATACATATATATCTAACTTGCCTTCAGATATTGTGTATCTACTCAAGAAAAAGTCAATTATTAAACTATTTTTATTTCCCTTTTTTCTCCAAATGACACCCATGCTAGTAGTATATTACATCAAATCATAGCCTACGCACTTAGATACTTCCTTTCATGGAATCATCCGATAGGAAAAAAAATATGTAAGCTTATCATTTAAACAACTTACCTGCATTGGCTGGTACTTCAAGAAGCCAATCTTTTTTTAGGTCATTCTTGCTCTTGTACCCAAATCTAGGAATCCATTTCTGCAACAAAACAAATTATTGCATAAATAGTGACATATGTACATAAAGAAAAAAAATTGTTTACATTTTATTCTTAATCATAATATTTTTTGAGGGGGGGGGGGGGGGGGGGGGGGGGGGAGGCGTTAAGAGGAGGAGAAATAACATGCTTCAAAATTGTTTTTGATGATTAACTTACTCTGTTCACATTAATGTATATTTCATATGTATTGTAATTTGTAGGTTTATTTGTAATTTTTTGTTTTGTTTAATATGTAATTTTTTATCATTGTACTTTGTTTGTTATAGACCTTCGGCACCACTTCGGTGGTAAGTGCTCTATGCACCGTTATTATTATATATTATTATTGTTTCAGGGAATGACTACTTGGGCATTCAGACTGATGAAAAAGAAAACAAATATACAGATGTTATGAGAAGACACGGATGCCTTGCCGTTTAGCTTTGTCATTTTAACTCATTGGATAAGATTTGATTTCAATAAATACACACACTTTATACACACTCCAGCCATATCTCAGGTATTACAGGTTAATAGTACATATATATGCCAGATTATAAAAAAAGAAAAGAAAAATCAAATTGGTTACCTCTTCCTCCTCACTCCAGACTTTGGTGCTCTTTTTTTTATTCATGATTCCTTTCTGCTTGGCGTATTTTTCCCATTTGGTAGCTGGCCTGTCCTTCGGTACCTGTATATATCAACAAGGTAGAATCAAGCTGGGATGAATGTCTCTCATTCTATCATGCATACTCAGGGGTCTATTTTCCTGGAGTAGTCTAATCTTTCACTTTAATCCTGGACCCAACACTAACCTCAACCCTAAACCTTACCCAAAAAATAATCACTACCCTGGCTTATCCTAATTTCTTGAGGAAAAAAAGAAGCCCTAAGCAAATGTTGCTGAAACATACATGTTAGGTCACCACGCTTACACGCGCTCACTGGAATGTCAATATTTTTCTTTAAAAGTTAACTAACATACCATTACTTGTAATTATCAATCCATAATATTATTGGAAGCAAGTTCTCATGGGTTTCTTTTGGAAATTACTCCTTTGGCCAGATGATATTTATGAGTTTAGAATTGATTTCATGGTACTCATTGAAAATCAACATTTCATTCAGCAGTGTCTTTCACAGGATCAATCACTTGTTACAGGATAGTCGTGAGCAGGATATAATGCTAGTAGTGATACAAGACCTTGCAATATTGGTTACTTGGCGACTTCTTGTGCTCACTTGTAAACTACCTAAAGCTCATTACCAAACTGTAAAATCCATTCAAACAAAACCTAAATTACAACTCACTCTCTTTTCTCTTGGCAGGACTGTAGTTGGTTCTGGTAGCTGTGATTGAAATAATGATGAAAAGTATACAGTAGAAATGCTTGTTGGTACAGTATAGTAAAAGTGCATGTATTCCAGTATGTTCATGAGTATTGGGAAGGAAACACTCAGAGCTCATAAAGCACATGGACTTTGTTGAGCTTGCCAGTGCTTTAGATAACTGAATGGATGTGGCAGTTTTAGTTTACTTTCATTCTATCATATCCTTTGAATGATGATGATGATGATGATGATAATAAAATACAACACACATATATTGCAGGTAAATGCATGCACCACCCATCTAGTAAACTTATAATGATCCACATTGTGAAACAACATGTAATACTAAGGAAAGAAATACAACTTTGAACAGACTTTTTAGTAAAATGTCTTTTCCATAACTATTATTTACAGTTAATTGTACAACTATTTTCAGACTGGATTCGGATACCCCTTTTTTATTTTTTGAATCTCAAGTTTACTATGTCTGAATAGATAATACAATATGACACTCCCGTAAGCTTGTGATCACTATAGACCATCATGAATAAAAGGTACTGACCTTGACAGTAATGGCATCCTCAACTCTGTGCACAGGAAGCTGAATTAAGATTGCAATAATTGGAATAGAAAAGAAGGAAAAAATTGTTTCAAATGAGGATAAAACACATTTTCTGATGACCCAAATAGACATTTCATTGATAATTTTACTGTTAGGAAATGAACTCAACAAATTACAATAATCTCATTCAGACTTGGTAGAAAGGCAATTGCACAAAATCAAACTAAAATCTACTACATGTTGGAAGATGTCAATACCCTTTACCTAATTGGAACTTCTGTTATGATTATGACACAACATATGTTAGAAGGAAACCAAATTCTCTGATGGTGCAAAAAAAGGGATTTCAATTTATTTCCAATTCAATTCATATTGAAGAAGTAAAAAAAAACAAACACCTTGAACATTTGATTTTAAAATAATTCAGTGCCTCACAATTCTCATACATTATTATAATTATCATTATTAACTCACCTTCCAGAGCTGGTTGAATAAGAGTTGTGTGGCATCCCTAGCAATAGATGAGAGATAATCTCCTTTATTGACTCTGGTGATAGAAAGTAGAAACACATACAAAAATAAATCACATGAGGATAATGACAATGACATGGAGTTATGGACAGAGTATGTGCAGTCAGGATACATTTTAACCACTGAATCTGATTTCCGATCAGTTGATCAATAGCTTTTGAACAGTCATCTTATCTTAAATAATTATGAACAAAAATCAACCATGTTCTTATGAATGAGTTCATCATTGAAGGTTTTAATTCTCATAACGTGAAAGTCTCTGTACAAAGTCAATGTGAAATGCATCAAGAAAACCATTGCAGAATCTGTTTTTGCATAGCTCGAATCGGAAGTATGAATCGTTCGTGAAAATGTATTTTATATTTGCAGACGCGTCTGTCCACGTTTACAAAGCCGATCCTTATTCTAGGACCAGCACCCCTGCCCTTCTAGTTTGTTCACGTACCTACTAACATAGACCCTAGTCAATATCATACTAGACTAATAGACAAATGTCAATCTTTTAAAAAAGGTGTCCCAACTCCCAAATCCTGTACATTCTGTGACTGTGGTGTGGAAATAAGCCACCACTAGCTGCCACTGCACCAAGCAGTAAGCCAGTATTTTCTAAAGTTAAACGATCACAAGAATTCCCAAGTTGTTGTTTACAGTTAATATTCTTTAACATGATAAATTGCCACGGTACACTCACACTGCCCAGGTCATGCTGACGGGAAATGTTACTTGATATTGCCAGTGCTATGCATCGACCATTCGACCACACACTCAAATATGTTTTCTACAGTCCCATCTACCTGTTTTTGTGTTTGCAAAGGTAGGTCTATATTGAAAGGTAAACAAAAATTATCCTCACCTATATTTCTTTAAATCTAATGCATTTGGGTCACAGGCCAGCAAATTCCCTAAGTCGATTTCTACTTCTACATCTCGCTGTACTTCTATAGACTTGTACTTCTTCTCTTCCTCCGCAGCATTCCTCAACACTTTGTCCACAATTTCAGAAGTGTCCATTTTTTTTCCTTGCGTACGTATCGTACAGTGTAATTTCCCTCTAACTTCATGCGGCACATGTACTGTGCACAATCCAGTACACGTGTGTGATCTCGAGATCCATGCATAGTCGGAACAACAGAGGGCGCACTCTTTAATGTCTCTTTGGTCGTAAACAGGCAAAATGGTATGACGATGAAAATTTTTGAGCCGATAAAATCACGAAAAATCACATTAATCCTACACTACTTGCATTATGATTAATAATTATTATAATAATAATACGTTACTTTCTTATATTTACGTTACAGGGTATCGATATCGACCACTCCAAGCTGCGGAAAGTCCACAGAACTGAACCCAAGAGTGAGGATATCTACCTCCGACTGTTGGTGAAGGTGCGTTATTTCGTGTAGATATCTAGTGTATAATGTGATGGTGAATGAATGGCGAAGTAAACGTCCTCGTTCTTATTTATTTCGTTACAAAAAGAGCATGTAGAATTCTAGATCTATAGATGTAACATAGCCTACAGTTTGTTAATCGACCGTTTCTCAGAAAACCAGAATGACATTTACCAAAAAGGCTAAAATATGCTAAAATATATTACCCCATCCCATTCACTCGGCAAAACAGGGATGATGTGTATTGTGTATGACTATGAGACTGACCATGCTGAGTATAATCCGAGTTGGATCTAACTCCAGGAAGCTCCGATGCCGAAGGCGTCGGAGCTTCTGCAGGTGCATCGGAAAAATTAAATTAGCGGGTTGGGTAACAATATCTCAAAATATGCAAAGGGAGTAATTACAATTTTGACTTCCTAAGTTGCTCGACTCCTCTCTGGGCATCTGGCTGGCCACTTAAATTTATAATTTGAAGAAGTCTTTGATGGGGAAAAGGGGAGTGATTCTTCGTCCTACCCCAACAATTCTTCCATGTTGTATTGTTGATTCAACCGGCGAAGAGAAAGTATGCATGCACGGTAGTGTGTACTTTCTCCTCGCCAGTTGAGTCGACGATACAACATGGACGAATCGTCAGGGTCGGACGATAGACAGCGCATAGATAGCCTATATTCCTTAGGACAATATCGATCGATATGACACCTCATTTATTGAGTATCACCTTCAGGATCACAAAGAAAGGTTTGAATCTCGATTTGAACAAAAAAAATTGACCAATTTTGCATGGTCGCGCATAGACCGAATTTTCCGTCTCTTTCGTTCGTTAGCCTCTTATTGGGGTAGGGTCGGCTCTCTCTTTAGAGACGGAAGCCGTTTATACACATGTCCTTGCTAACGCCACGGCCAGTCCTGGTCGTAGCGTTTTGCCCCCAAAATCCCCCAAAATGTCATTTTACCTCGAGCATGTTATATTGTAAATTAGGCCTAGGCTATAATAAATCAGTTCCACTTACCAACTTGACTGAAATAATCAGTTTAATAGTCCCTTTTTAGGAAATTATGGGTCAAAATCGGAATCCATGTTGAAAAAGATTTTCAAAATGGATTTCGATTTTGACCCATAATTTCCTAAAAAGGGACTATTAAACTGATTATTTCAGTCAAGTTGGTAAGTGGAACTGATTTATTATAGCCTAGGCCTAATTTACAATATAACATGCTCGAGGTAAAATGACATTTTGGGGGATTTTGGGGGCAAAACGCTACGACCAGAACTGGCCGTGGCGTTAGCAAGGACATGTGTATAAACGGCTTCCGTCTCTAAAGAGAGAGCCGACCCTACCCCAATAAGAGGCTAACGAACGAAAGAGACGGAAAATTCGGTCTAGGTCGCGCAATGCACATAGACTGCATAGCCATAGGGATGCGTGCAATCTCTATGGGAAGAATTTTAACACACAACATCGGGTGCGCGATCAGACGCCCTACTAATGTCATGATAACTAAGGTTAAGACCTACAATATAGGGTGCATTTATGCTTGATTTTGAAGGTAGAATGAGCGATCTGAAACGCTCATCGTAATCGCAGTTCCACGGTGTACTGTTTATGCTCACTTCTCTGGCTCCTCCAGGCAAATCTGGCCGGGTGGTCTTGCAGCTGGATTCGCAAACCTGCACTGCGCATGCTACGTAGACCCACTAGAGGTCAGAGCGTTGACCCTATTGAAACGCGTTTACAAATGATTGTGCGTTTATGCTTCCCAGAATCGCCGATTTTGCAGCATTGCCGATCATAAACGCACCTTTTTGTGAGTTTACGATCAGCGATCGTGATCGCCGTTTTTCACTGATTCTACAAAAATGAGAAAAGACAACTGTGTTTTAAACTAAACGTGTAACAAATGCCTGATTCTGGCCAGAAAAAGTTGAGCATAAACACGCCCTTAGACTACTACAAATTTGGAGGGCAAAACTCAATTATATTTTTGGAGGGTCAGTCAACTCAGAGATTATGGGCTTTGTAAGCATCACATTGGAAATCTCTTGGCTATACATTACTTATTTCGATGTGTTGCTTCTTAAACATGAAGTAAGCCACTATATAAACATTTTGTAATATGGGATAGGGTTTTTTTTATTTTTTATTTTAAGGCCGTCTGTACTAGTTTGGCTAGGAGGGATTAGACCACCCACGGTGACAGTGGTCACTGACAAGTGGCTATCTCATTAACTCGGCTCTCAATTAATACAAGAAAAAGAGGATCATGGGGGACCAATGGTCACCAATGAGGCATTGTTTTCTATAAAGAGGGAAAGAATTGTCCAAATAGCAGGAAGCAGGAAATAAATCTTTTATTTGAATTATGATGCAAAAAAGATGCAAGGTTAGATACTCTATACATGATGTAACTTATTGTTTCCCATGCTTATACATGAATTATGATTTTCCAACTGCAGCTCTACAGGTTTCTGGCCAGGCGTACAAATGCCAAGTTCAACAACATCGTCCTCAAGAGGCTGTTTATGAGCCGCAGCAACAAGGCTGCCATGTCTCTCGCACGTGTGGTAAGTTATATCAAATAGAGGAACATAATGAAATTTATTCATATTTATGTTTTTGACAGAATTTCATCATGGGTCTTAGACTAGGAGGAGGTGGGGGGGGGGGGGGGGGGGGTGGGAGATACGTTATTTAGGACACAGATACAGTTGATTATACTGATGAGGTGGAAATACAGATACAGTTGGAGACTCGGTCTGGTAGAAATATTGGTTCTCCATGTATGTCAATGCATATTGATCCTTAATTCTACATGTACATATTAAGCTGAAGATTTGCGATAAATGTAACATGATTTAGTTGGGGACAACTGTCTTGATCATTCATTAAAACAGTTACAAAGACCGGAATTACTTATATTGCATGATCTGTGTTTTCTTTACCCAAGGTTCGCTTCATGAACAAGGATGGCCGTGAGGGCAAGACTGCCGTCGTCGTTGGATGCATCACTGATGACGTGCGTATCCACAAGCTGCCCAAGCTGAAGATCTGTGCCCTGAGGGTGACTGCCCGTGCTAGGGCTAGGATCATCAAGGCTGGAGGAGAGATCATCACCTTCGATCAGCTCGCCCTCCAATCCCCCAAGGGACAGAACACAGTGCTCATGCAAGGTGAGTTGGATATGACATCAATCAATCCACCTTTATGATGTTAACAGGGAGGCCAGTTATAAAGCTATTGCTTAATTTCAGGATTTTTCTTCGTGGTGGTTTGACATATATGCTCCATTGACATTTGCTTCTGGGTTTGTTTCATCAAAGATGTAGGGTCAGTGTCTGGGTTTTTCAATGAGGTTTAGGGTTATGATAGGGTAATATTTTCCCTTGAATTTAACATAGGGTGTACATAAAAGTTTGCTTGAGCACGTCAGGAATATTCAATATTGCTACAATTTAATTTTGAATTAAAAGACAATCTAGTCCTTGTGTTTGGAATCTGGGATTATTCTGATTTGTTTAAGATCAACATGCATTTACATGCATAGCACTGCTTTGTACAAATCAAGTTTTGTATGCTATTGATTGATAAGATTTGGGGTTTTCCCTGTAATTTCAAGATGTGGTCTGCACTAACCCTGTAAACGATCATCGGATCGGCCGCCGATACCGATCCGATCAGGGGTGATCGGGGAAAAAATTTCCGATCGCCGATCAATTAAAATGATCGGAAAAAATCGGCATTTTTTTTTTTTTTTTTTTTTTAATGACGAAAATTTTCAAGTTTTTGGCTGTCAAATGCTCAAAAAAAGTTCATGGCTGGGATTATTTTGTCATTTGGAGTTGTTGTAGACAATGATTGGTAATATTTAGTGCCTTTTCATGACTTTGAAATTAATAATATTGGTCTAAGAGCAGAGGCAAAACATGCGGGCCGCCATCTTGGATTATAGTGTAGGTTTTTGGGGGTTTTTTTAATGACGAAAATTTTCAAGTTTTTGGCTATCAAATGCTAAAAAAAAGTTCATGGCTGGGATTATTTTGTCATTTGGAGTTGTTGTAGACCATGTTTGTTGATATTTAGTGCCTTTTCATGACTTTGAAATTAATAATATTGGTCTAAGAGCAGAGGCAAAACATGCGGGCCGCCATCTTGGATTATAATGCATACCTACAGGGTTAGTCTGCACACTATCGTCTCATGTCATTCACTGATACTGTTACTTACTTGTCCAGACAAGGAGTAATGACAATCGTGGTTCTTCATGTGCTAAGTTTGTGATTTTTATGAAAGCAGGCCCCGGTACATGTAAAAATGATTGTGACAATGAAAACAGAGCTACTCAAATTTTATGGGGGGGGGGGGGGGTGGTGTCTGCTGAATGCTAGATGAGCATTAACAAACAAAACTCTCTGTTGATAAACGCCCTTCTGGATGTGCAGATGATAGTCTGAAGCATTACAGATGATGACACAGAAACAAGCAAAGTGATTTAGTCATTTTTAAGGAATAGATTAGATAATATCTGTAGACTTCTATTGAAGGAATGTTGTGGATCAGAAACAATTTTTCACGTACCGGGTACATGTATGGACAGATATACCACAGAAGTTTTGTTGAGAGGAGCACCTTCTCTGCCTCTAGCTGACTACTACAGACCTCTGAAGTGAAAGCACTTTAGAATAAATATACTTTCTTTTGTATATTTTAGGATGCCGAACCCATCGCAAGGTGTACAGACATTTCGGAAGGGCCCCAGGAACCCCAAGTGCACACACTGCGTAAGTATTTTGTACTTTTCAGTGTAACTATTTATGGGAGTAACTATTGTGCATTTTGTGCAATGTAATCTTCACCGGTCACCCAGGGTTACCAACAACATTAAAGTATAGCTTCACAGTAATTCTCATAGCCGCCTCCTTCTTTTTTCATCTCCTTCTCCTTACCCCTTTTCTCCTCTTCCTCTTCCTAATTCATTTTCTTCTTCTTTCTCTTCTTTCACTTCCTCTTCTGCTTACTCTTTTTTTCTCTCCTTGTCTTCTTCTTTTTCACGTTCTAATTCTTCTTCCTCGCCTTTCTCATCTTCTTCTCCATCTCCTTCTCCTTCTTACCTTCTTCTCCTCCATATTCCTACCAGGTTTTCAATGTGATTATTTATGTTTCCCATGGTCATTTTTCAAGAGGTGCCATCAACAGAAGGGGGTCCTTAATCTTCAATACTTGGAAGGCATTTCCATTTTTGGTAGTGCTATTTGATTCCTGAAATATTTCTCTTTTTGAAGCAAACGTGCATTGAGTTAGATTATAGTAGTTGCTAATTAGATTCTTTGTCTTCTTTTCGAAAGTTTTATTTCACATCCATAGGAAAATATGAAATCAACAAAAAACTCTTCTCCATGCTTTGCATGCTGATGAATTACCCAAACTTTTTTCTCTGTCTTCTTTCAGACCATACGTACGCGCTGTTGGCCGCAAGTTCGAGACAGCTCGAGGTCGCCGCAACCGATGTGGATTCAAGAACTAAAACACGAGGATACCCAGGGCTGCCTGCCCAAAACCGCCAGTGTCATCTCCATAAGACTATATTACTGTTCATAGCGTGAATAAACAACATCACAGATACTGGACACAGTGATTCAAGTGCAGTGTGTTATGTGTGCTTGTGCTTGAGTAATACTAAATAGGCAGATTGGGAGATAGAGGGGAGTCGGAGAATGAAGAACATGGAAAGATGGTAGAGAGAGAGAGAGAGAGAGAGGGGGGGGGGATATTTGTTTGGATAATATTATATACCAATATAGAGATTTATAAACTAGAGAGATTGTCCAAGAGTCTTGGGTTGGACGAGAGAGGGTACGGTGATGATGATCTGACATCTGCTCTAGCAACATTTTTAAAGGATCTGTTTCATATGAATGATAGAGTTTATGGGAAATCCGACCTTAATCTCAAACTAATCTCATAGAAAGAAAAATCAGAGAAGCACACTGGTAAGAGTAAGAACAAAATCAAATAAAAAAAGATATTAACTTTTTGAAAGTTGCTTATCAGCTATACTATGGAAAATTCAAAAATGCTTAAAACAAGCGTCAAACAATTTTCCCATTTGTTCCAAAATGTAAGACTCGGGAGGGTCTTATCTTTCCAAAGGACTTGTAATAATATGCTTATCCATGATTTATTTTGAGTAGTGCCACAAGGGAGAATCATTATCATTATCACAAGGGGAAAAGGGAGAATGCGCACTGGAGAAAGATATTAATGATACTTTTGTACACAAACGGGAGAGTTGTCCATGAATATGTCATAATCCATTGACAATATTGCCAATTTGAGATTCGCATAGCTTTTTAAGGTTCAGTGATGTCACATTTCAATCATTAATAACTCTAATAAGTCTGTTTTATTTCAAACTTTCACCATTCTGTTTCTCTGATTTTTCTGCTTTTGAATGAACGTTACAAAAGGTTGGATTGAAAGAAACGCGAGAAATGGAGATGGAAGGAAAGTACTGGGTAGTGAGGGGCAGTGAGATGCTAGAAAGGAGAGTAAGAAAAGAAGAAAAGTGATACCGAAAGAGAGGCGAGATGGAATAGTAAATTTGCACATGAAGAGCGTCGGAGGGAAAGTGAGATAGAGGTACAGAAATGAGAGAATAGGAGATTGTCATACAGAGAGAAACCACATTGCCCGTCCTGAATGAATCACTCCTAGTTAGCCCCTAAGTTTTGACCCTTGAAAGTTGTTATGTACTCTTACTTAAGGTACACAGATGAATACTCAAGACAGATAATAGCACACGTTTGATACTCATGGTATAAGATTCCAAAGCAAGTTTATTGCGCCAGGCGCATGCGCAGCTTTATAATTGTGGGTCATCGTATGACGTCATCAATATATAACAAAAGTAATTTTGACCATCAAAGTCATCAGCAAAAATGTTGTCGGCCTGACCGTAGCAGTTGGATTTACTCCTCAGAGCCCCTAAAGAAGACCTCCATAGATCAATTTGTTGTCAGTAGGAAGTAAAATGACCACATTTTGCCTAGTGTAACCCACTGACCAAAATCCGACAGGGAAAAAAAAACATGTAATGGCTGCACATCACAAATTATAAAAAACTGAATACTTTTTTGTTTGCCCAGATAAAATACCAAAGTGCTCTGGATGTGATTATAAAAAATAACGTCTTCCAACCTTAATAGGTAAAAGTGTGCTATTCAATCAGATCAGTGTTGCACAACGTAAATGATTCATTTTAATTCTGTTGAGGTACAACTGGTTATCAAAATAGAGGCCGTTACATCACATTTTCCTTCCTAGTAGTACCCCTTTCCCTTATATGTGCTCCTTTTCACCTCTAATGATCACCCCTTTAACTTAAAGGTAAAGACCAGTATTGGTAACGCCCCAATTTCAAAAAATGAAATGGAAGCTCTCATTACCAATCATGTGAAAGAATATGTTTTGACTAATACATGATGATAAAAAATTTGCCGGGAAACCGCCTACTAATTCATATATTTGGTAAATTTATTTCTCTCATGGTCGTGTGAGAGAGATAGGGTAGTCCCATATACATCTTTCTGTGTATAGTGCTTGTAACTTTACGAAGAATGGGCCAAATTTCTTATCATTTTGATGATTCCAGAACCTTGCAGATGCTAGATGCTAGATGATCAACCTTTTCTGATCGATTCCACAACGTTTCTTTCACAATGCAATCGCATGACCATTACTGGTCTTTACCTTTAACCCAATTTTACTTCGCAAAGTGCCCATTTCCTTACGAACTAGTGTCCTTTCCCCTTCGGAGTATGTAGGTCAAAGGTGAAAGGTCATAGCTCATTAAATAGGCAAAAACACCTAAATATATATGTGAAAATGTGGTTAACTTCCTTGCCTATTAATATAATAGTATAGTCCAATGGAGGTTACTTGTTCTGATGTATATAGGCCATTTGTACCCTGCGAGGGGATGCTACACTTTGTGTTGACTTGTTTCAGATTCCTATTCCAGCCATTAAAAGAAGAATGCAAATAAAAATGAAAGAATAGCAGCGGCAAATCAGAGAACATTAAAAATATCAGCTGACTGGAAACCTTTATTTCAGAATAAATGACATCTATCTATTCATAGCCAAATGTTAATAAGGTCAGTGTATGATTTATCATTAAAAAAAGTCATATCTTTGCTCGACAAAATTGTTAACTAAATCTTGTCGTTGGCTAGATTGTAGGAACATATAGATGATTGAAGTTTAGTTCAATCATCTATATGTTCCTACCAAGCTATAAAAATGCAAGAGAACAGAACATACAGCAATAAGTGGTAGTACAGAATTTACAGATTAAATACACATACTGTGTGAGTCAAAAAAAAGTTTACACCTAGAGAATTGCTAATTATTTTAAAAAAATCATCTATGAACAGTTAAGTATTATACATCTTATGAAAGAGTGTTTTATCCCAAATCAGTTGGTATCATTTTTGTGTGGTATTTGATCACGCTTGGATGAAAATGAGGCATTGTTTGCGAGAGTGCAAAAATCAACTTGCGCCAAAGTGATGCCTACACATACCACACAAAAATGATACCAAATGATTTGGGATAAAACACTCTTTCATAAGATGTATAATCATTTACTGTTCATAGATGATTTTTTAAATAATTAGCAATTTTCTAGGTGTAAACTTTTTTTTGACTCACACTGTATTTCGGACGTCTTTTTATATTTCATTTATAATACATAATATTAATTCCTAATGATGCACAGTAAAGGAATTCACTTTTCTACAAGCCATAATAGGCCATAATGCGCCAAAGTGATGCCTACAGCATGTATTATGTTGGGATTAGCAAGAGTGAGAGTGAGAGAATGAATTGAATGTATCAAATGAATGCATTGGATATGCTTTTTGCAGAAGCAAAGTCACACACACGCACAAATTAATGTACGTTGATATTTGATATTCGATATTTGATATGTGTGGAATGATTAAATTTGTTAGGGATGTTATTTGGATCTGCAAAGACCGAATTAATACCCAAATCCCAATTGTTTTATTCAAACATCACACAAGCAACTTTGGCGCAAATCAATTTTTGCACTCTATCAAACAATGCCTCGTGTTCATCCAAGCGTGAACACATACCACACAAAAAGATACCAAATGATTTGGGATAAAACACTCTTTCATAAGATGTATAATCATTTACTGTTCATTGATGATTTTTAAAATAATTAGCAATTTTCTAGGTGTAAACTTTTTTTTTACTCACACTGTATCCCAAAATCCCAATTGTTTTATTCAAACATCACACAAGCAACTTTGGCGCAAATCGATTTTTGCACTCTATCAAACAATGCCTCGTGTTCATCCAAGTGCGAACACATACCACACAAAAAGATACCAAATGATTTGGGATAAAACACTCTTTCATAAGATGTATAATCATTTACTGTTCATTGATGATTTTTAAAATAATTAGCAATTTTCTAGGTGTAAACTTTTTTTTGACTCACACTGTATTTCAGACTTTTTTATATTTCATTTATAATACATAATATTAATTCCTAATGATGCACAGTAAAGGAATTCACTTTTCTACCAGCCATAATAGGGATCACTTCCTTTGGAGTTGAGACCACACCACATAGAGTGAAATCCAGTCCAAAGTAGTGAGTGAAGAGGCCTTTTTCGTTATGTAACCAAATTTATGCATATGCCTTTGTGAAGCGCCTCAATACGAAAGATTTCATTCATCCGTAACAAATAAATGTATCTCAAGAGTCAGAATTAAAATTACATACATTAGTTGTTTCTAGGTAGGACAATTTCCCAATTCTACACTTCCAAGTTATTTTACAGCAGGTGTTACTCTGATATTTTACTTCATTTATAAACAATGGCCCATTGGGTCCAAGACTCAAAGAATACTTTGTCACTTGTCCCAACTTAGATAACATGAATGCAAAATTACTTTAAGAGAAATGTACCTTGGGCAAGTTCAATAGACTTGTCCATCACTTTTTGAAACCTGCTAACAGCACAATGGCTTCTTATGTAATCAACCTAAACATCATTGATATGTATATACAAAAGGGTACTGATATTTCATTTGAGTAGATTCCTCGAAACTCTTTGCAATCAAGTGTAAAACATTTAAGATATACCGCATCTCGTTTGCATATTTTGTCACTTAATCTTTGCACACAAAGTCAAGGCAGTAAAAAGGGCACTGGTCCATTGACTCCATTTGAAGTTCACTTTGGTCGTTATAAATGATATTCCTCCTTGACCCGAATGAGTCGTGCTTTCTGCAAAGCTTGTCCAAGTTTTGCTCTTTGCTCGGATGGCTCTATCTTTTCCCTCCAGTTAAAGAGCATCTCAATGGTACCGGCCGCGGTCACTTCTCCTGTTACGTAGTTCATTGCTTTGTATTTCTTGAGATCCGCATACTGAACGCCCAGAGCGCTTGAGAGTTCGTCCACGCCGGTAAAGAGGCGTTTGCCGAGTTTTCTGAGGGTTTCGTCGTCGATGCCCCTGTCGTCGCCGGGCTGGGCAGGCTGAGCGGGCTGAGCAGGCTGGACGGGCTGAGCTGGCGGGAGATCTTGAGCTGGCAGGTGTCTGGAACATAAACAGATCCGGATATGAAACCGATTACTGATAGCACTAATGTGAACAAGTTGGCATTTAATTCTTATTACATAACATACTTCAGAAGTAAAATTTTGTACAACAAACACAGGAAAAATACCGAGTGTAAATACAAATATGCATGCAGGTTCATTGTTCAAGAGCAGTTATGAAGATCAAATAATAAGGGACCATAGAGTTAGTATGAATTACTTCAACGAAAATTGTTCGTAATATTTATGTCGGCCTACTTGTACCACACAGTGTGTTCGGACCGAACCGGGGGTGGGGGGGGGGGGGGGGGGCCTGGGGGGATTTTTTTTTAAATTTATTTGTTCAGAAATGTATGTTTTCAAAAAATATTCGGGGCCACGTGTCGCCCCCCCCCCCCCCATAGCTACGCCACAGCCGTGGGGGTTTCCCCCATCCAATATTTTCCTAGCTTATCATTTTGTTTGCTCATTTAATTTTTACCCTCTTCTCGTATTATGAATAGCAACCCTCATTCTGCATTATGAATAGCGACCCTCTCCTCGTATTATATGAATAGCAACCCTCTTCTGTATCATGAATAGCATTCCTTAACTTCCTTGTGAATAGCGACCCTCTTCTTCGATTAGGAACAGCAGTCCTTATGAATAGCGACCCTCTTCTCATATTATGATTAGCGACCCTCTTCTCATATTATGAATAGCGACCCTCTTCTTTGATTATGAATAGCGTTCCTTAACTTCCTTATGAATAATGACCCTTATGAATGATGACCCTTTTCTCAAATTATGAAAAGCCGTCCTTAAATAGCAAGCAGACCCGAATTTTAATACCCTTAACAGGGATTATATCTTGCATGGTATTACTATTAGACACCTTTATCATTACAAACTCACCGTTTTGTATCAGCCGTAAACAGTTTTGTTTCAGCAGACGCACTTGGTCCTTGTTTGTTTTCCTTCAGTTGTCCTGTTTTACCTTGTCAAGAGATTATAAGTTAAAGTAGTAAGAAACAGTTATTGAAGTTTGTTCATCAGAAATCCTATTGTGAATACCCTCTCTTTTTGTCTGCAAAGGACAGTAGAGACCGAGTTTTCAAACGAATGATTTTGTGTTGGTCGAGTCATATGGAATAACTACAGTGTCCTCTTGAATTAATGGCCAATATATAATAATAAATTAATAATAGTGGGTTCTTGCGATTTCAACCTCAGCACTAGTTATACTTTTTTTTTTAAATATAATCATAGGTCAGTGAAATGAAATGCTATATACACTATCTAACAGGGGTTTATTTAGGACATATTACTTGTCTTGAAACTGTCAGAATTGAATTGTTTCTTTACAATCCTCTGCTCTGCATGCATGCTGCGCGTGTTACGCACAGAATATATGATTTTGTATGTTATTACGAATACATACCTGCCAGAATCTGATCACAGACACTCCCCAAACCAGTTTTAGTCAAAGCTTCTTTCAACCTCTCTATCGATCCATCTTTGTCAGTCCAAGATCTCAACATTTGGAAGGTTCCGTTCATATTAAATGAATCTTGCTCATTTTCCTTCCGAAAAGTCTCAATTTCGAAATGATTGAATTCCAGAAACACTCCCAGTTTGGATAAAGTACCATCGGGGATCAACTTACAAATGTTGATCAGATCGTTGTGTTTTAGAGTCCGATCCATTCGGATTAAGATCCCTTTAAAATTGCAAGAGAATGAGTATTGGAAGGTGTACAATTAGTTGAGTTCAACTGCAATTGTGTCAATGATAGAATACTTATTTGTAGTACTATAGTAGACTTTCACGCTGTAATTCATAGTAGATCACCCGTATCCTTGTGGTACGGCACCCTCAGCATACCATGGCCACTGTACTGCACTGTACTGTACGTGTATACAGTACAGACCTACATACGATAGCTTCCTAGTGCAAAGTCCGTGCACGCAGCGCTCATCATGCATGCTCATAGGGGACATCATGGGGGAATCCCCCTTTGATCTGTCTGCATGACGTAAATCATAGTTGTTTTTGTTGCTGTTGCTGTTGTTGTTGTTGTCGTTGTTGTTTTTGTTAAGTACCCTCTATTTTCATTCACTCAGAATATTGACGCCTGTGTACTACTGAAATTAAAGACGCAAGGAACGCAGCGTGACATAGTCACAACCAGGCGCGTACGCAGGGGGGGGTGTTTGGGGGGGGGTTAACCCCCCCCCCCCCGCCTTTGGTAGTTTTATGTGTATAAACCTCCCCTAAAAAAAACCCAACCCCCCCCCTTTGGCTGACCTCAAAAAGGAAACCTTACCCCCCCCCCCCCCCCCCCCAACGGAGCAAAATGTCAAATTTTCAAATTTCGAGACCAAAAAAAAAAAAAAAGTGTCCTCTTACCCACCCCCCCCCCCCCCGCTTATTCAGCGGCTTGCTGAGTCGATGCGAAATTTTCGGCCCGATTCAAAAATGTTAACCCCCCCCCCCCTTCAAAAAATCCTGCGTACGCGCCTGATATCAACAGATGTGACCGGACTCGGACAGGTTGGTTATCTGGACAATACTTGATGAATAAAATAGCAATTTGAAGAAATTTACACGCAATATTTCATGAATTTGTAGAGAAATATTATAATAACAATGACGCCATTTGATACATATTTTTCATTTAATCGAAAGCCATGTAAGATAAGAGGAGGATAGAGGTGCACGTGCCAGGGGTGCTAAATTCTCAAAGGCGCGCAAAGGAAGAAGAACAAAAACACACTAAAGATCTGAAAGGGTAATCGGAGAAAATGGAAGAAAAGTCCAGGCGTATACGATTCTTATCTTAAGGATTATTTCGCCCCCAATACGAAGGGTAAATATAGTTTTTAGGGTATAATATTCGAACATACGTTCACGGTCGCTCAGTGCAGTGCTCCCTGGTATGTATTGATCAAGGATGTCGTGATTTTGCGCCTCGATAGCTTTTTAAAACGTATAATTCGCGTTGCTTTATTCCATATTGCACCAAATATACTGCCATGTAAAAAAAAAAGGGACATTGTGGAGGTTCAGTATTTGAAAGAAAAGGGCTTAGTTTTACTATATACCTGCAGTGAACTCGTTAATTTTGCACCCCAGTTGAAGAAGAACTGATTAGGAGGACGCTTGTGTTCATAATTATCAACTCCTCTGCTCTGTTGCAGTTATAAACGTACGAGGCGGAGTGGGGTGGGGGGCTACGGGCTAGAGGTGCCCCCGAGGAATTTTAGATTTCCAATATTTGAGCAACTATCGGCTCATATTTTATTGTGCATGCATGCCAAATTCGGGCAGAGCGCTGTCCGAACAACCCCACCTTTGGGTAAATAAATCGCATTGGGATAGCAAGGGCCCGAATATATTTAAAATAAAATCTTAGCTAGAGACTTTTGTTGATGAAATAGCAGTTTGAAGAAATTTGTTGCCGCTTCACTGATTCACTCCTTCACAAAATTTAAAAATCTTTTGATGACGAAGTAATGGAATGAAAGTGTCTTTTTTCTCCCTACTCGCTCACTTCGTTCGCTCGTAACAGTGTTTGTGGATGATAAGTTTGGTCAATTTCATTGCTTGCCCCGGGTGCCGAAATACTCCGATCGTCCCGTATATTGAACCTACCTGGGATGCTATTTTGTCCAGACCTGTATTTCAGTATTGTTGGTTATACTGGAATGTAGTATATTGGAACATTACACGACAAATGGATATGATAATAATCGCACAATGATGATACAATAATGAGACTAATTAGCCAAATTATGATGAGGATGCATAATGTCAACAAACTTATATTCTACACAATTGTATTTGGGAATGGTATTTCACAGTCTAATGGAAAGAACACTTGATTTATCCACATTTTCTATTAGAGCAGAATTACTCATTTGCTTAAAAACAAATCTTTTTGCCTGACAAGGACGAGAAAATGTACTAATAATGTGTCATATGCCTAAAAAATATTCCATTGTAAATATTATTATTTTCCATATGTTCATTCATGAAAATGGACGTAGTAAGTTTCCTTTTTTCCTTCTTTTACTTTCTTATTGTTCTTCTTCTTTGTCATCTTACTCTTTTACATCCAATCCCTCTTCTTCTCTGATATCCTCATTCCGCCATCACCGTTTTCCTCATTATTCTTTTCAGAACACTACTCTAGGAGTCTAGGTACTGTTATTTGTAATAGAGAGACCAACATTCAGTTAATTGTGCTTCGTCATTGTAAGTGGAATAGCGCCAGCTACAGTTGATGTGTGTGTGTCTCGTTGACGCTGTCATGACTGCCAGCGGCCAGCGGCCAGCGCGACAGATGGCATGAGCAGGTGTGCATGTGAAGTCTCAACAAAGCCCGCTTTTTCACTTGACGGAAGGGAAATAACAACAAGAAAGAAAAGGAATATAACTTCTTGAATGTTGTGTTTGAAATGACAATTTAACAATAATATTTCTCACTCTCTCTATCTCTCTCTCTCTTTTGTACTCCTCTCTCGTCCAGTTTGTCTGTCGTTGTCTCATCAATTATGAGTTGCTCTTATACTCTTCCATTGCGGTTCTCTTTCTCTCCCCCTTATCCATTGATCTTTTCGTAAGTAGATCATCCATATATTTATCCACTCACTGTATATTTTTCTGTACCCCTACATGCCTGCCTTTCTGTGTCCTTGCACACGCCATCTCCCCATGCTTCCCGTTCAAGCAAAACAAAATCGTGACATGGGCATAACAACAATGAGTTATCAGTACCTCCTCTGGCAAAATACTTCTCAAATTTGGCTGGGGATTATTTTCCCTTTCGACTCTTACCAACTCAATGCATTATCTTCATTTTGTGATCGTGTTCTGTTCCAGGCTTTATTTTGCGAAATACATATCGCTAAGGGTGGGTTCCCATTTAGATACGGGACACGGGATAAAGTTCAGAATTTGGTAAGTGTACCATAATTGATGGCCGAGTTTAGACCATTGTCATACAACTCATCATTTAACCCAGGGGCATGATGATAGTCTGTAGCAGCCCACATTCCCGAACATTCCCTTTCACCCGTCATTAGACCATGATTAGACTCACACTATGCATCTCAATTTCTTCCTCATGACTCACCTACGTCATGGAGCTCTGCAAGTACGTTACCATAGCAACCACACCTGCAGTTCTTTGATTGACTCCTCCCAGGTAACACGGAGTAGTCGTACCATTGCAGACCCGACCATGCTAACATTTGGGGGTAGGAAAGTGTTCATCTCGTTCAAGCGGTGAATAACAAAATGAAGCACAGATCTTGTTGCTTGTTTGCCTTGGTAGAAAAAACAAACACGAAACTTTATATTTTTACGAGCTTGAATCTTAAATTCTGCTTCTGTATTTATAAACGCTGACCCGAGAGTGTAAATGACTGCACGATATTTTCTAATAATAGTAGACCTGTTTAATAATATCATAGACCTATACCTACTACCATTATGCACGTTACTCTCCTGAACCTCTGCATACCGACTATTTGGGTTCACCTCCCGTAATGGCATCTCTATGGATGAAATTCACTTAGAATACATTTGCTCTTGCTATGCGTGGCAAGCCTCTAGCAAGCTTTTGAGTTGTCTGGAGAAACTTTTGTTTAAGAAGTGTGCATGGAATTGGTGCACAGGTGTGTTTGCAATATTTTTTTCTTTCCCTTTGATAGATGGAATTAAGCAAAGTTTTTGTTGACATTCCAAAGAATAATGTGCAAACAAGATATGAAAATTAGTTTAGACCATAATAATGAGCCCTATCAAAAGCTTACCTTTTCTTTGCTAGGGGTGCCAGAAAATGGAAAGACCCCCTTTCCATGAAAAGGAAAGATTACAGCTGTAAAAACAAACACGAAAAACCCAGTTTGTTAATAAGGTGGCGGGGGGCTTATACGCCCAAGAATCTTTCAACATTTTGTTGTTTTGTTTTTCTTGTCAAACCGTCCATGAACAAAGCATGGATAAGACACGGGGCATTCCTGAAATCTTATTTTCCCAGGAGAAAAAATTATATCTGGAGACAAATTCACGCCCCCCCCCCTCTTTTCTTTCAGAGAATCCTGGATCCGCCCTTCTATATACCAAAAATGTTAAAAACACAACTATTCGAAACAGACCATGAAGGTCATACCACTTTACCACTCCTTTTAGAAACTAGCAAAGGTCAAAGACAGACACAATTCTTCAAGGTTCAACTTTCAGGTTATCGGTCTAATATTCACGATATAGGCCTAACATAATACCTAGTAGTTGGTCGATTGTTAAACAATTTTGTGCGAAATTTGAAAGCAGGCTATTATTGCAATTTTCGATGGAAGTAGTTTGTTCCGGGAGTTTGTTTTCAACTACTGGAAATATTTTTTGGAAAGGTTTATGGATAGCCCCCCCCCCCCCCCCTTGAAATTAGCAATAGGCCTATGCAGATTTGAGCAACCGCTATACCTCATAGTCGGTCAGCAAGGTTCGGTCTATTGACATTAACGGTCTATTAAGATAAATTTCACTCTTAATAATAAACTTTTTGCTTTCTCGCTTTTCATGATCGCAAAATGTAAATTCTGCCAAACTGTTCTTGTGGAATGATACTATGCACATTACACCCACGATCGTCATTGCGCACTTACGATTATGGGCCTACTCATTAGCTTTCTATAGCCTATGGGTGTGGATTAAAAGTTCGTATTGGGGGACTTTGGAACGTCTCCAGAAGAACCTTGCGCACCGTCCAAACCGCGAGGTTATCTCGCAATCGAGACTTGTATGTGGTTTACAGTGGAACGATGTGTTGGCTAGCCTCACCCTGTATAAATTAGGCTTTTTTCTTCTTTTTAGTTTTCTAACTCCGTCTCTCCATCTCTCTCCCTCTCTAGTGGTCTCTCTCTGACCCCTGTTACACATACGTCTGAAAGTGGACTGAGGCCGGCCCCGGAGTCGGCTCGACGTATGTGTAACACCAACTTTTTTCGAAAAGCCGGACTGAGGCCAGGTGGACTCAGTCCACCTCGGGATGTGGTTTGAGGCCGGCCTCAGTCCCGCAATCGGTATGTGTAACACCAAAAGTGGACTCGGGCCGGCTTATAAGCG